CACATTTAAGGTTTCTATCAATCACGCCGTCATAGAATAAATATGCACGGGATCCTTCCCTCTTAGGGCTGATTAGGTCGCAACGATTTATTCTCACGAATTTTCCCACTAGCAACATATGTAAGCGATTACTTGACTCATTAGGTCGCGATTCCATCGATTCTAATTTTTTTTTTTAACTAAACGTAATGTTTCGGAGACTTGAAGCTCCCAATGTCTATGCCTATGAACGATTATCGAGAAAAGTACAAGCTTTCATTCATCAATTCGGAGTCGGTGCTCGATGGATACAGTTGTGCCCTAAAGATTGAAAAGTCAAGATTGGTCACATGGGATGGGGTTTGACCGCGTCAAAACTTCGGGCAACAATGACGTGGACTGCCCACATGACGACCGGGGCCCGGCCAAAATTGACCCCGGAACGAAACAAAAATCCATCGAAATCGACAATAAATTAGGAAGATCTATGAGCTAATTATAAAGAAACACCAACTTTACCTTGAGTAACAATTCAGATCCGATTTTTTTATCTAAATAAAAAGCACCAAACTTTACTCTAATGCTAAATTTATCCCCCTTGATGTGAAATTTTCAAATTGTTCGAACCAAATTCGGGATTTAAGTGAAAGTTGGTGATTTTTTATGAGACAAAAAAAAGTTCGAAGTAGAATTATCACTCAAGGTAAAGTTGATGTTTTTGTGGGATCAGTACATAGTTCTTCCTAATTTAAAATTGGTATTTTTTTAAAATTAGGCCGAAAAACTATACACGCAAGTGCGAATAATGCGTCATCTATAAAAGATATATTGGCATGTGCAGCTCCGCCACGTGTACTTATACATGTCCAGATGTTTAATTCTTGGATGGGAATTAATTTCTTGAAAACTTCGACCGCTTAATCAACTAAATTTTGTGGGGCCATCGATCTATAATGGACCCTTCACGTCGGGCCCACTCAAAGCTATTGGGCTCTGACTGGTTGGTCTTCGTCTATTGGGCTCACTCGAGCCCATTAGGCCCACCCGCCATTCACGATAAGGCCCGGCCCATTGTGGTCTCGCCGATTCGCTTTTATCACATTGGGTTCCCCTTTCTGGGAAGTAAGCAGCATTGGCCGACACCTTTTTTCTCTTGGATCCTTCCTTCTAAGGATTCCTTTTGCCTCTTCTTCTGTTTTAATAACGTAGAACATTTCTTTGGCAAGTGCCATGGTCCAGAGAAATGAATCGATCTCGAGGATCTCGAGGTTTCTGAATGAAGGACCGTGACTGATTCATGAAGAATGGGAGGATCTCGGGGATTCCAAGTCTTAGGGTTTTCTTGTATATTCTAGAATACTCCTTAGAACGGGCAATATTATAAATGTACACTTGTGTAATAAATGCGGATAATTGGTAAATGGGGAGATGCGATCTCCATCATTAGATTAAGGAGAGATCTACTGTTGTGGTTAGACAAATGAATATCCTCCTCCTCATTTGTATCATCTCATAAGTAATATGTATATATGTTTGTTATCCGGCCCATTGTGATCTCACTTATTACATAGGGTTATTTTTTTTTTTAGGAAGTACCTTTTTCTTTTGGATCCTTCCTGTAACTTTTTACTATAAGGATTCCTTTCTTTTACTTTTTCTTTCTGTTTTAATAACGTCAAAATCGTTTCTTTGGTGTGCCTCTTCAATTAGCGTCAAGGATGTCACTTGGTAAAGATAGATTAAGATTTTCAAAGATAAAAGATTGCGTAAATTTGATATCCGGGGCTTTGATACAAGCCCCTGATCTTAGGCCAAATGATTTCTTAGCACCATTAAATCCACACGCGTCAAATAGGGGTTAAATCTAACGGAGTTAAGGGATTAAAACATAGAAACTAAAGGTTAATTAACCCTCTTTATAAGCAAATTCAACATGCGTAAACAATCTTCAAGACTTAATGTTCTTTTAATGATAGCGATAAGGTGCATTAGTTAAACCGAATGGCATGACTAACCACTATATAACCCGAACCGACATTATTTCGGGGCCTTCCATTCGCTGACCAAAAAAAGAACAAACGGGTATCCTTGCTTTAGTAATGCTAACTTGTCTCTCTCTTCCTCGATGCGGATAAATAGGTGAAACAATCGGGCGTCAAGACAGTTCGATGCTGAAACACATTAAACCCTAAACCCTCTCAGCTCTCGTATCAACCCATCAATCGATCCTCTCTCTCCCTTCCACCGTAATAGAATTGCACCCCAAAAAATCTTTAGGGCTTTCTCTGTTCTAGCCACGGTCCCTCCCACTTCTCATTTCGGGTCTCCATTCCTGTTCGTCATTGCCGACGGTTATCATCAGAGAGTCTCGCTCGGTAGCAACCACGACGACAAAGACGAGATCCTGAGCGTGATTCCTCTAGGCGACCATGAAAATCCGCACGTCCCCTCCGGACCTCGCGAAGAGCGGCGAAGCCCATCTCCCCATCACATTTCGTCGCTTCTCATTATATGACCTTGATTCCCGGGTGTCCTAATATCGTAAGCTTTCCACAAACAAACAAAAAAATATCTCATTTGATAAATTAACAATTTAACTCGAAAATTAAAATTCCCTGAAGAACATCTTGCGTTATGATCCATGAATCTTATAAGCTCCTCCACACGAAGCTAACTATACAGTTTTTTTTTTTTTTGTCGTAAAGCTAACCATAGAGTTGACCATGCATTCAATTTGGTGCATTGAATTTGGTGAATTGTTTCCATTAATTCAGGGAATTCCATGCCAAGCAATCGAGCCTTTTTACAAACGAGTCGTCCTCTTGAATTTTTTTTTTTTGCCGAAACTTTTTTTTTTTTGGCTTTTTTTTTTTTTGCCGAATTTTTTTTTTTTGGCTTTTTTCTTTTGCCGACTTTTTTTTTGGCTTTTTTTTAAGATCTAGTCCTCAAAAGAACTCAAGAAGAAAACTTCTCTCTATAAAAAAATTATGTCTCTTCCTCTTAGAAATCTATAAGCAACCTTATATAGGGTGCTAACCCTAATCCTAATCCTACTAGGATTAAAATTACAAAAATAACCTTAATTGCTAAAATTCGTCCAAAAATGGAAAAAGGCCTAAAAGTTCATCTAAACGACTCCAAATCGCTAAAAAACATCATCAATCACTACTAAAGTAGTGAGTATTGATCAGCGGCCCGTTTCCAAGCGTCCATCCAAATTTGAAACACATTAAACCCTAAACCCTCTCAGCTCTCATATCAACCCATCAATCAACCCTCTCTCTCCCTTCCACCGTAATAGAATTGCACCCCAAAAAATCTTTAGGGCTTTCTCTGTTTTAGCCACGGTCCCTCTCATTTCTCATTCGGGTCTCCATTCCGGTTCGTCACTGCCGACGGTTATCATCAGAGAGTCTCGCTCAGTAGCAACCACGACGACAAAGACGAGATCCTGAGCATGATTCCTCTAGGCGACCATGAAAATCCGCACGTCCCCTCCGGACCTCGCGAAGAGCGGCGAAGCCCATCTCCCCATCACATTTCTTCGCTTCTCATTCTATATGACCTTGATTCCCGGGTGTCCTAATATCGTAAGCTTTCCACAAACAAACAAAAAAATATCTCGGATAAATTAACAATTTAACTCGAAAATTAAAATTCCCTGAAGAACATCTTGCGTTATGATCCATGAATCTTATAAGCTCCTCCACATGAAGCAAACTATAGAGTTTTTTTTCTTTTTTGTCGTAAAGCTAACCATAGAGTTGACCATGCATTGAATTTGGTGCATTGAATTTGGTGAATTGTTTCCATTAATTCAGGGAATTCCATGCCAAGCAATCGAGCCTTTTTCTGGGTCTTTTTCGGCCGTAAGCAACGGGGTGTACCTTTTCGAATCATCCAAAAGAATTCTAATGGGGGCAATTTAAACAAATACAAAGAAAGACAGGTGCTTACCAGCAAAATCGATTCTTTTCTTGTACAAGTCTGCTCGAGCATGTGGCTTTGTCAACAAAAAAAATCATCCAAAAAGTCGTCATCCTATTGCATATTTGCCAATTCGATCATAAACCTTTCAATTTTGCCAATTGAATCATAAACATTTTCACATTTTGCCAATTGAGTCAATTCGGTCAATTTTAATCGGAAATCCCTAACATGAACACCGATAGTGCCATGTAGGATAGATAGCATAATTTTTTAGAATTTTTTATTTTTTTTTCTTTTCATTTTACTTTTTTCTTTCTTTCTTTTCATTTTTTTCTATCAAAAAAAGAAAGAAATTAAAAATAATTGAAAATTCTAAAAAAATATTAAAATATTATTAAAAATTGTCCACGTCTGTGCCGGCCGTGCCATGTAAGACGGTCGGCGTCCACGTCAGTGATTTCCGGCTAAAATTGGCCATATGGACTCAATTGGCAAAACGTGAAAAAAGGTTTATGACTCAATTAGCAAAAAATTTCGGTTTAGAACTGAATTGACAAAAATATGATAAATTGATGACTTTTTGGACAATTTTCGCCCGTCTCAACCCAATTTGCGTGAACCAACCACACATCCACAGACTTCTTGGTTGATTAGGTGAACCTCCCATCTTCTAAACCCCAACCGAAAGTGATGATGTCTTACCATGAAATCAACCAATCACAGCCAGCTAATATCCCTCAATCCCCACCAAACCATCGGAGAATTCCTGGCTGCATCAAGAATTACCAAACGGATGATCATGACATGCCAACAAATGGGTATAATCAAATAGTGCAGAAAGCAAAATAATTTCCTTGAGAATTCATCTGTATTTTATATGAAAAATCGCGGGTCGGGAACATTTGTCGTTATTACTATTAGTTTAAGTTTTTGGGAGCTGGGAAAGGTGCCAAAGCGGGGTTGCTTCCGAAGGAAATTCGTGAGGATTTAATGGGTAAACGTACCATTTTCGGACTAGATTAGCACCAAAAGTGTCTCTCTGTCTCTCTCTTCTCTTTCTCTCTCTACCTCTGTGGGTGCGCCGCACCGTTGCATCAGCATGAACTGACAAAGGAAACAGAGGAGCATAATTAAGTTAAATAATGACAATTAAGTGCTGCAAGAAAGTTGAACAAGGGCTTTAAATCATTCAGCTTTTGATCAGAATAGCCGCCCTTTTCTTTTTCTTTTTTCTTCACAGGACGTGCAGTTTGCTGTACCCTCCGTGAAGGATCAGCCGCACTGTTCAGGTACCTCAATTCCTTCGTTTGTTTTGCAAGAACCGATTGACCCAGTTCAGATAATCGCGGTCCTTGAGGACCCAGTTGATGAAGTTTTGATTTTTCGAGCTTCTGTTGAAGGTTTCATAGCATTTCTGTGTGCTTTTTTGTTCTTGGCAGATACGGAGATGATCGGATGATCGTGTTTTGTCTTTTATCTGGGATGAAGATTTCGCGTTAATGTTCTTGCAATCTCAAGGAAGAATCTTGGAGTGAGAACATAAGCGACGGAAGATTCTGGTATTTGATTGATTCTGCAGAACCAACTCTCTTTTTTTTATATGCCCACTTTGGAGAAGGAAATATATGGTTTTTCTGGTTGTTGTGGACGGTTTGGTTTGCTAGTGAAGATGTTGTGAATCCGGCTGCTGTCGGAATCTCTCTCAAAACCCTTGAGGGTTTTAGGGATTGAGAGTGGGCTTCTATGTTGTAATGGAATTGGGGACTTCCGGGTTACGAGGAAGTCTGGATGTTCTCTTCAATGAACGGGAGTTGAAACATTGAGCAGGTGGTCACAGGTGGAGGTGATCATGCATAAGTTCCTGAAAGAGAATTGACGTTTTCCAGAAATTTTTAGCTTGTTGATTAGTAGGAAAGTGTCTTTTGATAGTTCTTGATGCAGTCAGATCAAACTTGAGAAGCATCAACTTTTTTCCTTTCGAATTCAGCATGTCGGAGAAAAGCGTGCTCCCTTCGAGGTTCCTTTTCTACATAATAACCACTTCCATGATCCTGTTGACCCTCTCTTCTCTATTCCTCCTAGAATTCAGTAATACTTCTATCATATCTAGCAAAGTCTTGAAGCTGATTCTTGTTAATAATACATCAGTTAATTTGAAACCCGGTGCCGAATATGAACAGGCTGAGGTTTCTTCCCTGTCATCCGTGACTTCACAAATCGAGCATAAAGTTCCTCTAGAAGGACAAGGAGAGGGTTTTAGTTTTACGGACGGTGGAGAAAATTTTATCTCTCAAGAGAAGCAAAGAAAAGTGGCCTGCGATCCCGATCAGGTTCTGTTGAAAGTTTTTATGTATGACTTGCCTCCTGATTTTCATTTTGGATTGCTGGGATGGAAGGGAAACCCTGGTGAAACTTGGCCAAATGTCAAAAATCCAGCTCAAATCCCAACTTATCCTGGTGGCCTAAATTTGCAGCATAGTATAGAGTATTGGCTCACTCTTGATCTTCTATCCTCGGAAATCCCGGATATCAATAGACCATGTACTGCTATCAGAGTGAATAATTCAAGTCTAGCAGACATAGTCTTTGTGCCATTCTTCTCATCTCTCAGTTACAATCGCCATTCTAAGCTTCACGGAAAGGATAAAATTAGTGTCAACAGGATGTTACAGAGCAAATTAGTGCAGTATCTAACTGGCCGGTATGAGTGGAAGCAGATGGGGGGGAAGGATCATATCATTGTAGCCCACCATCCAAATAGCATGTTGGATGCGAGAAAGAAATTGGGTTCTGCAATGTTTGTGCTTGCCGATTTTGGTAGATATCCAGCAGAAATAGCTAACCTTGAGAAAGATATAATTGCTCCATACAAGCATGTTGTGAGAACCATATGGGGCGATGCATCTGCTCCATTCAGTAAGCGCCCTATACTGGTATATTTTCAAGGAGCAGTTTACCGAAAAGATGTAAGTGCCTTTTGGCTTTTTATTTAATTGATAATGTTCTATTTTACCAGTTGACAAGGATTTATTGCATAAGCAGTTTGTGGAGATCATGATAGAGCTTATATCATTTCTGTCCAAATCTTGAACCTTCTTCGATGCTTCATGACGGCCATATTATTTTGACATGAGGTTGCTTCTTTCAGCTTTCCTCGTAAAAGAGGCCATTTTCCACTAAAATCAGTCATCTTTTGGTTTATTTCCTGTCGCATCCACATATTTTCAGCTTTAAATTGCCTATTACCTATGTCTTCATGCTTTTCATTTTACAGGGAGGTGTGATTCGTCAAGAATTGTATTACCTTCTCAAAGATGAGAAGGGCGTGCATTTTGCATTTGGAAGTGTTCAAGGGAATGGGATACACAAGGCGGGCCAAGGAATGGCTTCATCGAAATTCTGCTTGAATATTGCTGGTGACACCCCTTCCTCGAATCGCCTTTTCGATGCCATTGTGAATCATTGTGTCCCCGTGATAATCAGCGATGAGATTGAATTACCATTTGAAGATTTTTTGGACTACTCAGAGTTCTGCTTATTTGTCCGTGCCGCTGATGCTGTAAAGAAAGGTTACTTGCTAAATCTTCTCCGTGGAATAAAAGAGGACAAATGGACCAAGATGTGGGAGAGACTGAAAGAAGTTGCACAACATTTTGAATTCCAATATCCGTCCCAACCCGGTGACGCGGTAGATATGATCTGGCAAGCAGTCTCCAGGAAGATATCTTCGGGGCGGATCAAACTTCACAGAGAGAATAGATACCGCAGATCTCAACTGTCTAAGGGTAACTGACTTTAGACCAGCCACTTGAGCTTACACCACGTAAGATTGTGAATTATATAGATGAGGGGAAATTCTCTTCTTTTTGTTCCATTTTGATGGCTTTAGCTTCCACAATAATGGTTTTCTTTGTACATCCATTGATATCAAAGAAGACCATTTTAGATGAGTACTTGTTTTCGGTAAATATTAGATGGGTGGTTATTGTCAGAAAATTTACAAAACACGGAAACTGATTGTCGTTGTGTTCCCATTATCAGCATCTAAACCAGATGCAACAGTTGCCGGGATGAAATCGTCTCTGAGTGAAATAGTTCAGAAGCATTGTCTATCATTTGATCATAAGCATCGTCCAACATTTCATCTCTAAACATGTAGGAAAGAACCTTATATGCAAATAACATAGCTACTTTTGCAGTTGTGTGTAACTCGTGTGCTGTATGAGTGGGTGCTGATCTAAAAGAGAACTGCCTCTCTTCACCTTGACAAAAGACTCCTAGAAGTTATATGAAAATATACAAAAGATGTGCCAAAATGCATGTAATCCTCCAAACAAAATGTTCGACGCCATAACGGGGCACCCTTTCCTTCCCAAGATAATACCTGGTGAGCTCTCTGCTTTGTTTAGGCCATAGCTTAAGAATGTCCATATCTGTTGTGAATGGGATCGGATCCTCCTCGAACTCCTCTTTTATTTGCTTGGCTAGGGTCGAATGCCATTGAAGGCGCAGGTGCCACACTTTGCAACTGTAGGTGCTCAGCAATGGAAAGATTCCTAGTGAAATTAGGCAGGTTGTCATGGAACGTTGATTGCTTTCTCTCCAATCTAGGACGAGGACCCATACGTCTCGTGGCCGAAGCATTATGTGCCAAAAGGGCTAAAACTCCAAAACAGATGAGAGCTACTGCCACCTTGGAACTTCCAAGTCCCATGAAGAAAACTGGGCAAAACAGAAGGAAGATGGGATTATTGTTCTACTCACTGATATGTGGTACTACTGGAGTTATGACTGTCGTTTCTTCTGTAGCTCATGACTGAAGAGTAGGCCTATGTCCCACTATTTATTGCATGTATTTTGGGGGTAATTGAAAGCGTAAAGCAGAGAGTGGGGTCCTGAGAGAAATAAAGACAATTCAAGATCTACCCCAATGATAAGCCTGCCAAGGAAGCCAATAAGGCTGTCTAGGAAGACTCTGACACGTTTGAACAAAAAGTGAAACTTGGAGACCTGCCTACATTCTTGGGGAAGCCAAGTATCTTCCCCTTGTGCCGAGCATCTTGCATTCCTTAGGATCATCACAACAAAATCACGCCCAGAAAAAGGGAGAAGGGTCTTTGGGACTCGAGGCAAAAACGCCACTACATGCGGGCTGATGCTGACATGGTTGTCGTCACGGCAACTATTCGCCCTTTGTCGATCTGTCCCTCGTGGCAAGGGCAAAAAACAATCACGAAACGCCGAATGTCGCACGTAATCTATTAACTTTGATGCACCCGATCCAGATCCCATCCTTCTTTCCCTTTCATTTCCACTTCATTCCGGCGATTATATACCAAATTGGCCTAATTGGTCCTTTGTAGTTATTATCCAAGCGGTTGCAGCATCTCTGCTCAGAGGGTAACTAAGCTATCGAGCACCAAAAGAAGAATAAAGCAAAATCTAATATAGGGATGAGGTCGTGTGGAACAGATTATTCCAGAGAAAAAGAAAAGCATAAAATGAAAAGTGAAAAACCAAGGCTTGCTTCCCCCCCCTAACTTTGAATCCCTGCCATCCACTCAACCAAAAAAGTTGCAAGTCTTGGTTTTCAGGTTCTTGATGAATTCGCTTTGCGCTTTTGCTTTGTCTCCAGCTCGGATTAGACAGAATGCCACCCGAAAAGGGCATATGACTAGTTATAGCTGAAATTGTTCCCGGGTGACGATGCTAAGTTCTTTCGAAATTGAACAAGACACGATACCATCAGACTCATAACAAAGAATCAAATCATCCGTTTCCACAGGAAAAGTACCAATATAACCAAAGAAAAAGGAAAAGATTAAGCATTAAGCAATGCTTGGCAAGTACTATTATCTCATACATAAGAGTTTCGCAGATACAACAACCGCTCAGGTGACTTTCAGGATTCATAAACAGTGAAAATAAACTGCCCCCAGCGAGGTTCGGAAAATATGTACAAAGAGAAAACTTGCATATGAGAGAAAATCTTGACGTGACCTCAAGAGTATTTTCAGGTGCAGAACGAATACTTCACACTTCAAATAGATAGATTATATGTTCCCTGTTTCTCACTGTTAGAACCACAAGTAAAAGTACACTCTCTTCCGTAACGCAGATGTCTGGAAATTTGGCTGCTTATGATTGGACTGGCTCCTGATGAGGAATCACTGAAGGCCCTGGTTCTATTGTGATCTGCAAACCACGACGTTGTCCTGCCTGTAGCATGAATGCAACTTCACTTGCTGCAAGTGCCGCAGCTTCCTGATTCAAAGAATCGAAAAACATTTAGATTAACATCTTTACCAGCAGATGCTTTCTTAATCACCTAGTCATGAACCAACAAGGGTTTGGCCACCACTGAGCCAACCCCCGGTCTCTAGTGTGGATATCAGACCGAGAGTTCAACAAGAAAAATGCACAAGACTTCTAGCTGAGACAGATAAGAATTTTTCCATGGAGGGAGAGAGAGAGGACTACAAGAACCAAAACCACGTTAGACAACCTTCGCCAGCCAGATAGTGCACTTCCAAAGTTATCTCCTAACTCGAATTAATCTAGCAAATGATGACTTGATAGAAATGAGGATGCCAAGTTAGCTAACATGCTTCCCTTCACTAGCTAATTCATAAATACTCAAGCATAAAATTAAGCTAGTAACAAAATTATAAGATTTCGACCCAAAAAAAAAAAAACAAATTTATCAGACGGATGAAATTTCCTTCCAGAAAATTAGAAAAACTCAAAAATGAAAGTGTCACTCCAGACCTGTCTTTGTCTTCGACGCTGTAAGATACTTATTGCCCAAGCCATAATGTAGCAAGGAAGAAGAAAGCCAGCAGCTCGAAGCAAGAACAGCTGGAAAGAAATATCCAGTAAACTAATGTCAGAACAGATAACTGATAAAACCTCTACTAGGAAATAAGAAAATAGAACACTCACAGAGAAAAATGCAGATGCATCATCTTCATCATCACCATTGGTGAGGTATAGGGCATGCCTTAAGAGTAAAAGAGCCATCAGCTGCCATCGAAAGGGAAAAGCTTGTTAAAAAAGGAAAAGGAAAAAAAACAGTGCAAAAAAACAAGCACAGTTTTTGAACATTAGTGTGCTGAAAGAACAATATTGTGGGAAGCAAAGACATAAGTTCCCCCCCCCCCAAAAAAAAAAACAGAGCTACAGGTAGGGGAAAAGCAAAATGCTGTCAGTTTTCAATATTGGTTGCTCATAAATGGATCTTGATTTTGTTTGGAATTACAAGCAGGTGAAGTGTGCATGCATAAACTGAAATTTGTCCCAGGTATAAGAAAGGCATTGCCTCCTCAAGGCCCTATGAAAGGAGACATGATTTTGTCACAATGTAATGCATCTCCAAATCACATGACAAACAAGGCCATTATGACTCACAATAAGAGCCGCAGAGCGGCAAAATGCAGCTCCGCTTGCATTGGTGTCAGCGTATTCATCATACTCTGCCTCCAGAAAATGGCGTTCAGCTGCCATTGCCAAAATACGAGGATCACGCAAATCCAGAGGAGCACCAGACAGCGTCCAACCCTCACTGTAAATCAAACATGAAACAGGAGACATCAATATGATCAAATCTGACCTGGAACAACCAAGCTTCTTCAAAAACTTCATAATAAAATAAACACAATGAATGAAGGTTTTATTATACCATCAAGTTCTCTGCAAAATGTCTAAGAAAATAAATTCTTGACTATGCAATAGTTGAGAGGATAGTTATTCCAAATATACGACTTTGGCTAGAAACATATGACTGAGTATGCAATCATTTCTTTATTGATCGTCACCGAAAGTATATCCTAAACAATAGGGCAAGATATCCCAATTGTAGCAACAAAAAAGCCAAAAAGAACAAAAAAGAAAAAAGAAAAAGAGCCTTAGACGTGGTTAGGAAAAATAGATCATTGAGAAGAACAAATTAGAAGCCAACCCATGTCAAATTTTATAACATCAATCCTACACAACAAAATGATCCACACAGTAGTTTTCAATCTCCATAAATCATTACCACAAGCTAATATGAAGCTAACTAGCTAATTGTACAGGCAGGTTAAAGTAAACTCTTACCTTATGTCAATTGTGGCATCATCAGAGTTCGGGGGAGCTGGTGGGGCTGTATAGCCAGGCTCATAAACCTAAACATCAACAATGAAGTTTCCCTAGCGTCAGTAAATATGAAAAACTCTGCCTCTCAGAAAGAGTCCTTCCAAATCTTTAAATAGTTTCCATCTACTCAAAAACGGTAATAATCATCCAAAATTTAGAAAGAAAAACGATAGGGGAATAAAAATTCTTTTTCTTCAAATTATCCTAGCACAATTCAGCATACAACCTAGCAGCCACTGGAAAGACTATAACTATGCTACAACATAATTAGACTTGAAGAGGAAGGGAACAAAAAGATTAATGCTATTTCAAGAAGCAAATTTACTGAGCATTGTCGATGTCATATTTGATCCCCTATACACATCGAGCAACCAACAAATTGTGCAGTCATAAATGAAGTTTCAGGTGCTGAGAGGGGCTTACCTGATGGCATATCTCACAAATTACATCTCCTTTCTCATTACACCACCGCTGAACACATTTCCTGTGAGCATACTACACACAAAAGAAAACAAAGCTGTTGGACTAGGATTTCAGTGTATCTGATCATACGCTAATGATGCTTAAGTAAACATTCAGGTTTCTATTTTATAGAGGCAAAAAGATGGGATATTCTCGTTATAATTTTCCAAGCCTACCAGACCAGATTCACCGAGGTCGGGCTTGCATAAGAACAAGTAAACATTTCTGCACCTTCTACCCCATTGGATTAACCGAGCAAAGCTAAAGCACACAGAGCAGCAACACCCACAGATACAACTCTCAGAACTGATGTAATCAAGCATGCATACCACTACCATGATTGGAAGCATAAAAGTAGCCAACTGGATATGTGACATGGCAACCGGTATATTTTGAAGAAACAATCTGGCTGCTTTAAAACCACAAATAACGATATATTATATCTTAAAAAAATGAAATAGGAGAAGTGACCCCGAAAGGCACAAACCTTCAAACTACCGCTGCAAGCACAAGGAGTCTCCAAATTCTTAATGCTATCCTCCTCCTGGCAAATGCGACATTCAACGGTCTGAATGAGAGGTTCTTCTTCTTCGCATGTGCTAATGACTTGTATATCCTCGACTTCAACAGCAGAGGTTGCCGGATCAGCAGTGTGAGAAGATGAACCCTCTCCAGCAGGCTTTGCAGAATCAGCCTTTTCGAGAGATTGCGATCTCTCAGGTGTCGTGAAGTGATCCACGCAGAGGACAAGATGATCACTCATTCCGATTTTGAAGAAATTTCCTGATACATCAAAAGATTTAACAGAAACTTGGATCAATTCCCAAGTAAAACACGCCCCCAAACCAAACAACAGTCAAAATCACAGCTTAAGTCGTCTTGAAGGCACATAAGCATGATTTGAGCTACCACGTCCCCAATGGAAGGAGAACCACTTAATTGTCCTAAATCAACAAACTAATCAATTTTGATGGTCGAAAAAATTCAATGACTGTGATTATCTCGAGATACTCCGGGTCCAGGCGCTTAAATTCTTCATCCTCTCTTACTATTCGGCACTCGCACCGTTAAAATAGAATCAGAAATATAAGCTGCCGAGTTACATCTCTAGACAGTGACAAACAAGTTTAGCCAATAACTCGACAAGAAATCAAAGGACACCCGAAAAGACATCACTTTTTACGACAAAACCCCTATCCTTCGCCCGACAAAATTCATCATCATCCCACGCAAATGCATCCCCTACACTGAACAACGATCCGGCCCTTTTCATTTCACAACCCAAAAAATGCCATCTTGACTTCCCTCCCGGCTCTCGTAAACGGGTCGGAGAAATCAAAACGACGGACTTCACAAATGCCGGACGGACCGCGCAACGAGCCCGATCCTCGGCCTCGACAATCCCGAGGAGCTCCAAGACTTCCCCCGCGTTGACCCCCTCAGAAACACAAAAAAAACAAAAAAAAAATCAACTCATCCGCCGCGACCCACCAACAATCCGGCACACAGGCGGAGCCACGACGCAAAACCCACCCGAATTGGCGCTTCGGAACGCTAATTCTCCCCAAAAAACACGCAATAAAGACCTCAAACACTCGACAGCCCCACCCACAGCACCAGATCAAACGCCGCGAGAACCAACCCACCGCCGAGGGGACGGATCGTACCTGAAACGGGCTCGGAGGCGCGGGTCTCGGGTCGGGTCCGAGCTCGGTCTGGGGGTGGAATTCGCGAGCTTCAACGAAGGGGAGGAAGAGGAGGAGGAAGAAGACGAAGGAGGCGATGCACAAGCAGCGAGCCTTTTGTACGCGCGACGACGACGGAGCGGCCGGTGGGTGCTGGTTGGGGGGACGTTAACTCCTCGGCACGTCCGGTTAAAAACATCGAAAGTCCGCTTCGTGGAAATTGACGTTGTCTGTTTCCGTCTTGACCCCGCGCGTGCGGGTGGGGTGGTGGACTAACGGCCGTCAAGAATCGTCGTCGTCACCGTGTCTCGTTTTGTGGTGGCATTTCGAATTTCCACCGGCGTTTCCTAATTTATCAACCCTTGTCTAGGGTTAATTCCACGAAAAATCCTGAACTGACATACTCGTGATAATTTTATCTTAAATTAATTTTTTGATCACGAAAAACCCCAAACTGGTACGCCTGTGATAAATTTATCCCAAACTAATTTTTCGACCTCCAAAAATCCCGAACTAGTACATTTGTGACAAATTTACCCTCCGTTAGTTTTTATTAAATTGAATTAATACCACAAAAAATCATAAACTGGTACGCATGTAACAAACGGAGGGTAAAACATAAAATTGATACATCTGTCAATTATTGAGTGTCATTTAACAAAGTAATTTAACAGTAAAACTTAACGAAAATAAATTGAGGGAAAATTTGTCACAGATATACCAATTTAAGATTTTTGATAATCAAAAATTAATTTTAAATAAAATTATCATAAATATATTAATTTATGATTTTTCGTGGTATAAATCTTTTTCTAAACTGCTCCTCCTCATGTCTTATCCTTTACCTAACAAATAGGCATGGGGTAGTTCGTGTACTTTTCTGAACCGAGTTTTAGGAGCGCAAATTTCCACTTTATCGCATTAACTTGGGTAGATGGAAGTTTAATATGTTCGGCATTGTTCGTTATGCATTAGTTGGGTACTTGCCTTTTCTGATGGATTCCCGCACGATAAAAAATTACTTAATAAATCTATCAAAATAAATCATAAATTCATTTTTTCAACTCGTATATAATAGGCTGATAGGCTGAGTTATTAAATGGATTAGTTATATTCAGTATATGGATTATAAATGAGTTTAAACATAATATGAGTATTAGATTGGTCATAAATGGATTTAAAAACTTATCTTGACCCAACCCGTTTTTATGACTCTCTCACCCTCGCTTGATTTTGCGCTCATCACTCTATACTCCTACCTCAGTTTAGGTACAAGTTTTTCTAGATTAGTTTAAAGATGAAAGTATTTTAGCAACATGATATGTGTTGGGTATGAGTCGGGTCCGATCGAGTATGGGTCACTAGATCTACATTGCATAAAAATTGATCAAAAGGGGTTATAAATGGATTTATTTAGGTCGAATCATTTTCGACCCATTCCAAACCCAACCGGACCCGACCCGTTTGATGGATTTATGACTTGGTACCCACGTTTGTGCGACGATCCACGAACCGTCGTCGTGAAAAGCTTTTGTATGTATGTGCAATTTTGACTTCTTGAAGATTTGTACGCGCGATGGATAAACATTAGATATATCGTGCTCTAGTCGAGACCCGGATAAGAGCCCTTGCGCTATTGATGTTTCTTTGTTTGCCAGCCACTATACTCTAGAAGGATTTCATTGACCATTTTTTGGGGGAAAATTAGGCAGGTTGCATACCATGTTTTTCGCCTCGGTGTTGGCATGACGGCTTCTTATTTTATTAAAATACCAAGTGGATATATTATATTTTGATTATTATAACGTAATAGCAATTGAGAAATATATTCTTCAAAGAATTTTCGCAACTCTTGGCATTAGCAAAGTTGAATTGACCCGTTGAAGGATTTCCAGCTCGAAATCTAGAAAGTGCCACAAACCGTGTGCAAACTGCTCTAGACCCACGCACCAGTAAAATGCCCGAGCTTAACCGATTCACGAAACTTACCGTGGGGGTGTTTCATAGACGTTCAGTTAACAAAATTCTCACACTCATACCCCATATAAAAAGGAAGATTTACCGTATTATTGATCTCGAGAGTTCTTCCAGCTGTATCCAATTACAATTATTCAACAAAAAATATAACTAAATATTTACAATTAAATCAAAAAGCCGGTGGCGACTTTTGATCAACACCGAAAATTGTGTTCCTAGATTAGGAAAAAATACTCGTTTCCACCAACCGAAAGCACCATCATTTAATCCCAGCTAAACTTTTATTTAGTGCATTTATTTTGCGAAAAAATAAACAAAATTTAAAGTTATTATTTTAAAAATAATCATTGTGAATCATCGGAATATATTTTTCAAGCGACGCAAATAATTATTTTAAATGAACCGTTTTTTTTTAAATGGTCGTTTTTTCCATAAAACGGAGCTATCACGGTGAACGAAGATTTGACCCGATCAAACCGAGGACCTTTTCCAAGAAGAAGCATCGGAGACCTTAATTTACGACCTCAGGTTCTTGTCGGTACTTTTCAATCTCATTTACCTTTGACCCGGTTGCTTCCATCACGTATATGCTTATCCAAAAAAGCATTCCCGTCTCGTGTACTTTGAGAAATTGTTGCCCCCGCGTTTTGCAGCTTGTAATTACAACTTCATCGGCCAAAAAATAGAAAGAGAGAAATAAATTATTTACTAGGCATATAGACCGGGGGTGAGCAATTGATCGGTTCAATCTAGGAATCGAACCGAATTGATCTTACCTGACCGGTACCTAATTGGTTCACATGGAGATTGGTTCGGTATCCGGTTCTTGGCTTTGAAACCGATCAGTTCTGATCGAGAAGGGATAGCACTGAACCCACCATATCGGCCGGTTCCAAATTGGTTCATATGAGGATTGGTTTGGTTATAGATTCTTGACTTTAAATCAGTTGGTTATATCCGACAAGGCCTGTTTCCGGGTGAACCTATTTTAAATCGATTTCAAGGCTGGTTTTCGGGTAAAACTGATTTTCAACGGGTTCAAAATCAAAACCTACAAGTCTTTTTTCACTGGGAACTTTTGCTAAAAAAGAAAAATGATGGGGCTGAGCATTCCACCATAAGCAAACCATTGACAGAGCAATTAAATAGAAAAAGAAATGGTAGGCCGGTTTTCGAGTTGACCTTACAACCGGTTGATTCGGTTCTAGACTGATTTCAAGATTGATCAATACGGTGCCCGATTCCAAAAGACAAGCATCAACTCTAATAGAGTAGATTTCATATTCTTAGTCTAGAACCTACTCATCCTGGAACCCCGTCACTCCAAATGTGGACAATCTACTTGCGTGATATTCAATCATGAAATTATAGATTAGAGAGAGTGAACGAGAGGTTAATACTTCACCCATGGGCCTAAAAAGAAACGAGCCCATGGCCTCATGGGCTTTCTCTCTACCCAACCCAATTTCACAAACAATAATTTTGTGATCCAAAATGATATAAATGAATAGGGGTGAGCAAGATGGACCGCCCAAATCGGGACCAGACATGACAGACCGGTTTGGTTTGGTTTTCGGGAATATCAGTCCAGTTCCCGGTTTCTAAAAGTGGAACCAGTTTCCGGGCGGTCCGGTTCCCAGTTGTAGGGTGGGAACCGGACTAGACCGGACTGATAAATATATATTTCTAATTTTTTCATATATATATTTATTTACTTTTTAAAATTTTTGAAAAAAAATAGAAAGTCTAATTTAATTTCCTCAATTCCCTCTTGCCTTTACCAATAAGTGATTGGTCCCATAGGAACCAAACTGGACCGGACCGGATCAGATCGATCCACGGTCCCAAGACTAGCCAGTCCGATCCCTGGTCCTAAAAACTGGGAACCAGTCCTCCCGGTCCGGTTCCCGGCTCTTGGGTTGGATTGGACCTGATCGAGAACCGCTTACCCCTATAAATGAAGGCACAAAAGAGAGAAATTGGATTCACGTGTTAATAATTTAACTTTGAAGGTCAAGATGAGAATGTGAAAATAATCATGTTTTAGGTACCATGATGACATTGTTAGACTTACTTCGGTGCTCGAAAGACTTTTATCGTGGTAATTTATGACTTTCAAATATGAAAGTTAAAAACTCAATAGGTAATGCATTGGCCATCTTTTTACTCATAATTTAATTTTTTTTAGTGAAAGAATTACATCTAATTTCAAGAAAATATCATTTTAAGTGATTTCGGATTTTAGTAATTACGTAGGTCTAAAGATTTGAGGTATATGTTAAAGTCGCTTGTAAAAATTACAGTCAACCTCCAAATAAGAATTAGATCCAAAAGTTGATATTTTTCACTTGAATTTATCTTTCTGGGGGAAGGGGGTGAGGTTTCAAAACTAGAGTTATTTTCTTTTTTTCATTTCTCATCACATCACAAAAATTGTACTTTTATTTAGTGCGAAATATTTAATTTTCTTTTTCGAAACGTATCAATATTGACATGTAAATTTACTTGATTCTTCACAATAATTTAAATTTCTAAATAATTTTGTTTTGGCCATGTCCGCTTCCGCTCCGAAGAGGAAGGCTTGGATGTCACAGAGCCAAAACAACAAATACTTAAAAACTTTAACGCGATAAATCTATGGCATTTTACATATTTTTGTCAAAAAATATCGGGACACACTCGAATCAAATAAAAAAATATATTATAGTTTCCATTAAAGTGAATAATCGATATTCTTTCGACCAAAAAAATAATAATAATCGATATTGTGAAAAATCTAATATTTCCATATCAATAGTGCTAAACATATTAACAAATTCATTACTTTTTTCGACCCAAAAAAAAAAATTCATTATTTTTATATTTTCTTTACCTTTTTCTGTTTTTAGGCCAACTTCTTTCCTTTAAAGTTCGCCTTCAATAATGAACCCATCGACCGCACACGAGAGGCGCAGAGCAAAAACCCTACGCGACCGTACCACACGATCGCCACGTCGGGGGTTTTCAGCGTCGCCATGGCAGAGGAGGTAGCGCCGGAGCTCGCGGCGGCGGACCCATCGGCCGCCGAGGACATGGACCTCGCGACCGAGGAGCCCGACCCGGAAGAGGGCGAGGCGGCGGCGCCCGACGGGGCCGAGGACGGCGGCGGCGGCGAGCCCAAGGCGAAGCGCCCGAGGGAAGCAGGGGAGGAGGGCGCGGAGGCCGCCGGCGGCGGCGGCGCCGCGAAGAAGCAGAAGGCGGAGGAGAAGTCCGTCGAGGAGGAGCGCCTGGAGAAGGGTTCGGGTCCGGCCAAGGTCGGGCCCAAGGAGTTCGGGTCGTCCGTGGAGATGTTCGACTACTTCTTCAAGTTCCTCCATTTCTGGCCCACCAACGTCAATGTCAATAAGGTATGACGAGAATGCGAATGTTAGCTTTTCTGCTCGTGTTGTTCTCCCCCGACATTCATGCACGAGCGCTGAGCAATTGGAGGTATAGTGAAGTTCAATTCATGTGTTGGATTGTTCTGGAGTGTAATTGTTTCGAGTGCCTCAATTTGTTTGTAATGGGTCGACGACGGCTTGATCGCGTAGAATTAGATTGGTCGAATTTGGAAGCTCTTGGTTTCTGAGATTTAATCCGGGTCTTGTGTTTTTTTCTTTCCCATAAGGGGTTGTGGTTTGCGTGCCCCCCGGGGGGGGGGAATTTTTTGGGGTGGGTGGGGTAGGTTGGTGGGGGCGTGGGCCCCCCTGTTTTTTTCCCTCGTCCGCGCCCGCGCGCTCTTTATTATAAAAAAAATAAAAATGAACGAACAAATTTCTCGCCTTTCGGCGATTTTGAATGTTGGATTCTCCGGCTGCGGAGAATGCGTACGAGTCCATGACAAGGAGAAGGAATTGGGTGTTCTTCTGAATGCATATCCTTACTACTGGCAAGATCAATTGGATCACCCACTGTTCTTTCTGAGAAAAAGAAGAAAAAGAAATCTGGAATTTTTGCCTGAGAAAAGATAAGTTGTTCCTTGTGCATTGGTTAGCTGAAAGTAGGCTGTGTATAGTCAGTGTTCTCCTCTCAGATGGAGATCTCACTCGAACTATGTGGAGTGGAATTTATTTGATGTTGTTACGTAGTGATTTTTGCTGTTTAGAAAATAAAATAGAACTACCCTGTTCAGCTGTGATGATGAATAAGGAGATACAGGTCTCCGTCTTTGGAATGAGGAAGTGGTCTATCGCGATATGCTGAGCACATCGCTTTCATAACTATTATTATAAGTTCGGTTTGCCGGGGAGATCTGTCTGTTACGCATTAGGAAGTCCTGGGCAGCTTGTTGCGCCGTTAATGATGCCCAATAGAAGCATTATCTTGCTCTTGCTAAGATTTATGTACAGATAAAATCTCTTACCTGCTTGTTAGGTGCATGTTATACATTTTTATAATGCTAGTTACAAGTGATCACCGCATTGACTGACTAGTTTGATTTTTGTGTCCAAGAGAGAGAATTTAATCATGTACTGGATGATCGTGCCATACTTGAATCATGTAGTGGATTCTGTCGAACTAACTGCATGTTACATCTCAATATTTGGAGCTTTTGGCTTTATGATAGCCCATGCTTCATGCTATTTTTTCGACCACAATGCAGTATGAGTACATGACGTTGCTGGAGTTGATTAAGAAGGGGCATTCGGAGCCAGAGAAAAAAATAGGTGTGGGAATCAAGGCATTTCAAGTCCGATTTCATCCTACATTCAAGAGTAAGTGCTTCTTCCTCATAAGGGAAGATGACTCCGTGGATGATTTCAGCTTCAGGAAGTGCGTAGACCACATAATCCCGTTGCCAGACGAAATGAAAGCTAAAGATGGTGTCAGCAGGGCGTTAGGTGGCAACAAAGGACATGGAGGGAGAGGAGGTGGTGGACGAGGTGGCCGCGGTCGTGGAAGGGGCAGGAAAGCAAAATATTGAGGTTTTTGACGATGTCGATGGTAAACTTTTGCTGATGTGGCTTGGAAAGAAAAATCAGCACTAGGGGCTTTTGTTGTACTCCCTTATCTTGCTTTGCTATTGCAAATGTGCACGCCGTGCTGCCGGCATATGCTTGTATCGAATAGTAATGCATCATTATCTTGTTTAGTGGCTCTTGTTGAAAGAGAGTGGCAATTTCTTTTCTAAGGTTTCAGATTCTTGCATAACTTTTTAGTGTACCACACTATGATCATTTGACGTAGTATGCAGTGCCGGTTCTAGCTCGATTGGATCAAGCATGATGTTAAAGGCAAAGATTGAGTGATGTTATTCAGTACAATCAACGGCTTCTGGGCTTCATTCTCATGAGGTGTCCTACTTGACTTTGATAGCAGAAAAGCAAAGGGTTAGCCTATGAACATTGACTAGTCCTAAGACCTGAAGATTTGCATTTCTCAGCTAAGCTGAATTCTAGTGTTTCTGATTGTTGTCAGCACCAAGTTAAGTAGATTTCCGGTTCAGGGTTCATTGCACCGACTCTTACATTTCAGTTCTAGAGAGGTTACTGAAAGCAAACTGCTGGGAACTCTGCGGTTTGGCAATTGCAAATGCGAGCGGATTCGGAAATGTATTTGCCTTATGATCTCTTGTTGTTCGATCGAATCTTCCTTGTGTATGTTCGCTTTCACGCCAACTTCATGTACATGAACTGCCAAGCGGTCTAGCGAGGTCGCTCATTTCATATCGATTCATCAGATTCGACGAGTCTCATGCACTTGGTCGTCCACTTAATATGTTTTCCTCGAACTATGTCAGGGTTTTCACCATTGGCATTGTGCCGCAGTTATCTGTGTAACCTACCCTCATCATCTTGTGGATCCTTTAAAGCTAATGAAAGTCCAGATTGAATCCTAATTAAGCTCACAATAATGGATGAAACTAGCGGTTACAGCCGCAATATATTTCCTTCATTCACTTGGAAAAACAGAAGTTAAAAGTGTTATATGGCAATAGAGTGGAAAATATTATCAGTTCATGGATGATATGCTCGACAGTTTGAATGCTACGCACATCTACTCTCTGTAATATTGATCACGTAGATTTACATAAAATTTCTGGGTCCAAGTTTAGAACTTGATTGAGGAGCGCAACACCTGACTTAAATAAACACGTACAGTCTTCATACGTGCATACGTAATAGATACGCGGAAATATACGGCTACTAAACTTTTGTGTGGAGCATCCTCATAGGGCATGGCAGCTGCTTTTGAGTTGCCTATATTAGCACATCCAAGCGTTGTTGTAACTGTTCCACGAGCCCCCAATGCAGTTAAACTCCTCATCATCGAAGTCATTAACTTATGCATTACTTACAGTATCCATTAACTATGGATTAACACCAAAAGATACAGTAGATATTGCTAAGCCGCATCACGACGTATCTTGTACGTATTTAGTACATGCATGGACTGCATCTCGCGCATCTTCCTTCACGAATATCGGAAGCTTTTGCCAAGCGTAGCATGTGAATCCAACCCTAATCGACAGATGGTAGCCCCCATGCAAGTGAATTCGTGTTGAGTTTGACAACCCCAGAATCCTCAGCATTCCCAAAGCCTACCGGATTTCTTGGAATCGAAGAACGAGTGCATAATTCCACAACCATCCATAATTATTAGGTTCGTCTCTCTCTTTCTCTCACATTCATCTTGTAACTCCCCAAAGATCGAGAGAAACACGCGTAAGCCAATAAATGAAATTGATGATGGTAGTTCATGCATGCGGGACCGGTTTTATCCGCGAGACGGCGCGCGATCGCCCATGATATTAATTGCAGTTCGTGTTCATTCATCTGTATTTATACACAACACGCCACTGGCCATCTCGATCGATTCCACTGAAAAGCTGGAGAATTTTCCAGTGTTGCACAAGAAGAGAACGACATTGGCGATGGCCAGTCATCACCACCACGCAGTGAGGGTCGAGCCATCGTGCTCTGTATACGACGTCATTGCAGATGATGAAGACCCTTTGTTTTTCTCGAATGATCACTCGCCTTCTCTTGGAATCTGGTATTACACCAGTTCTCTCTTTCTCGTTCCTTTTTGGGTCAAGTAGTAAGGCATATAAGGAGTCCTAACACGCTTCTCCTTTTCTTTTTCCTGTAAAAATGAAAATAAAGCAGTGGAAGAGGGTATGTTTCTTCGTTAGAGTGGCAATATTATATGTCGATTCACGAGTCTTTTCCGATGTTGGCGACGTCTTTACCAGATGATACTTGGTACTCCACTTTAGACATTGTTGAGCACAGTAATGCTTGCGTTGTCGAAGGTACATGTGGATTTTAACTCTCTCTAATACATTTCTTGGAATATGTATCATCGTCTTTGCTTCTGATTTCATTGATTGGCATTGCAGATAATGTCGTTCACTTCGGCGATGTGAATGGTTTATTAGAAGAATTTAAGGAAATGAACGGTTGCTATGAGACAGGAATAAAGGCCGTGTCGTCCGGTAATGATGGAGATGGAGAAGGCTTGCTCGATAATATGATCATGGGTAATGGATCGTCAGGATTAAGTGCAGAACGTGACGGCAAAGAATCAGAAACTAGAGCCAGTATCAAAATGTTGTCTCGCGAAGCCATCTCCGAGTACTTCTACATGCCGATCACACAAGCCGCCAAGGAGCTTAACATCGGGCTGACACTCTTGAAGAAGAGGTGTCGGGAAGTCGGGATTCGCCGGTGGCCCCACCGGAAGCTCACGAGCCTCCAAACCCTAATCAAGAACGTCCAGGTCCGTACCTCTGTCTATAGAGTTTTATAGTATACGTCGAATATGAACCTGCGACGCTGATTTCGTGAACCGATGCAGGAACTGGGGAGGGGAGAGGACCAAAGGAAGCTGCGCGAGGCGATAGAGTTGCTGGAGAGAGAGAGGAAGCTGATGGAGGAAGTGCCTGACCTGAAGCTGGAGGACAAGACCAAGAGGCTGAGGCAAGCGTGCTTCAAGGCCAACTACAAGAAGAGGAAGCTTGTTCCAAGGACATCGTCCTGATGTACGAGATTCGATGTGTGATCTGAGTGTCTGACCTAGGATAGCATGTTAGATTTGATCTGTTTCCCTTCTTCTTTTGCTTTCACTTGTTTATCTTGTTTGATTAGATAGAGTTGGATATGAAATGAGGACAATGATGATTTGCACATATTTGTCACCATATTTTGGCTCAAGAACACTACTTAGATCATGTCATTTCCTTAAGGGAAAGCTAATTTGATTCTGAAATTTAAAAGAGCGAGGCTTATCTTTCTTCAAGAAAAAAGGTTATCGAAATCATTGATTAGAAATCGATGATCTTTCGTGACGTGGATCTCATTTTTATCGATAAAGGACTTTGCCATGCGATGGAGGTCCTAAGTTCAGTTTCTTGCGTGTTTTCCAATTTGTAAGGCAGATGTATTTACCGGGTATTGGATACTATCACCACCGGCTCTTGAGTAAAACTAACAAGATTTAACTGTCCATATAAATTCAAAATGCATGCAGTCGATCCACCATATAATTTTTAATATTCATTAGTGCACAAGACATGTTGATCCAAATGTCCCTTTGGGCAAAAGACATATTGATCCAAATGTGCCTTGTGCCGAGCTCATTCTAATAAATCATGTCGACGAGATTTCAAGAGAATGACGAGACTCACATTGGACCCTACCTAAAATCCACGCCCATTTGATCACGCAAAAAATGAAACTAAAAACTACCTTTCGTTTTCATTTTATGTTCGCGACCTTTTCTTTTCAATTCGTTGAAAATATATTCGGCTCATGAAAATAAAATTTCAACATGAATGAAAAAGAAAAAAAGGGTGGAGGAGGTAGACCTTATTTTCTTTTTCGTTAAAACAAAAAAATAAAACTTTTTCTTTTCAATTTGTAATCATGGAAAAACAAGCAATTCATAAAAAAAAAGAAAATATCAAATAAAGATCACATAAAGTGAGGTCATTTTTTTAAAACAGGCCCAAAGGCTCTTCAAAGTGGGCAACCGTTTTAAATGATGATCGGTTGAGCTCCAAACATGACCGGCGAGAACTTTACTTTTCCTGACCGGTGGTTGGAATAGTGCATTTTTTTTTCAAAATAAAATCTAAATAAAAATGAAAAATGAAAAATAAAACTTAAAAAGCTAAAAAAAATAAAAAAACAAGAGGGAAGTTGTACTTTGGTCGACATGACTTTCATCTGCTTATTTGAGATTGAGGCAGGCCCCAGGTACCAACTTTGGTGGCTCTTTTGAGAAAGTTACCTTGCCTTTACGTGAAATTTGATAAATTTACCCCAAACCAATATTTTGACCACTAAAAACCTCAAACTGATACATTTGTGACAAATTTAACCTCCATTAATTTCCGTTAAATTGAATTAATACCGCAAAAAATCACAAACTAGTACACTTGTGACAAATGAAGGGTAAAACATACAACCGTACAATAGTTAACTCGTAACGTGTCATTTAACGGAAAGTAATTTGATAAGAAATTTAACTAAGTACCCTATTTTAAGCCTTTACTCGAAATTTCTCCTAAAAAACGATCATAGAAAAAAGTGACAAAAATTAACATATTTAGTCCGTAAGCACCCCCCCGAGTTCGCGCCGTTCTAGCAATTCGGTTTCGGTGCATGTTCTCGCAGGAGCCTGTTCTTGCGGAACTCCATCGTTCTTGTCCGAAAGATGGAACAAGAACGCCTTCTCCAGCATTCATCGGCTCCGATTCGAACCCAGGATCTGTCTCCGGTCTCGCCGGCGGGCGGCTAAGCCGGCCGGCGGCACGTGAACACCCACAGAGAGAACGAGGCTATGAAGCTGATCGCGCCCTCCGCCGTCTCGCGACGATCACTCCTCGCATCCCTCGATGCCCACCGCTCCGTCTCTCTTTCCTCTTCCCCTTCTTCTTCTTCTTCTTCGTCGTCGTCGTCGTCGTCTTCTTCTTCTTCATCACTAGCTTCAGTGTTGTCGACAGTCCTCAATGCTAGACACATGGGCCCGGCGAATCCCTTCTCGCGCTCTCGAGGCGCGAGCGAGGGATTGGTTTCTCTGATCAGGTCGTGCGCCCACGAGTCCCATTTGCGCCAAATCCACGCCCGCATCCTCCGCGCTCGCTCCCTCGAAGACCCCACCATTTCCCTCCGCTTCTTGTCCCGCGCCGCGTCCGCGCCGTTCGGTCGCGTCTCGTACGCCCGCCGCTTCTTCTCCCAGATCAAGAACCCGTCCCTGGCCGAGTTCAACGCCATGATCCGAGCTTACTCCGGGAGCGACTCGCCCGAGGAAGGGCTCTACTTGTACAGAGAGATGAGGCGGCTCGGCGCGAGGACTGATCCGTTGACCTCTTCTTTTTGTATCAAGTCGTGTGCGAAGATGGGGTCTCTGACGGGTGGCTTGCAGATTCACGGGAGGATTGTGAGAGACGGGCATCAGTCCGACAGCCTTTTGCTCACCGCTTTGATGGATTTTTACTCGATCTGCTGTAAGAGCGAGCAAGCCTGTGCGGTGTTTGATGAAATGCCCGAGAGGGACACTGTTGCTTGGAACGTGTTGATTTCATGTTACTTACGTAATCGTCGAACCCGCGATGTGTTAGCGGTGTTTGATGCTATGATGGGTGGAGAGTGCGGATGCCAACCGGATGATGTTACTTGCTTGCATGTCCTTCAGGCTTGCACTAGCTTGAATGCGCTGGAATTCGGTGGAAAGGTCCATGAGTATATTGAAGAAAGAGGCTATGGTGATGCTGTCAAGCTTTGTAACTCTCTCATTACAATGTATTCGAGGTGTGGATCCATGGATAAGGCTTTCATGGTTTTCAAGGGAATGCGAGTTAAGAATGTGGTGTCTTGGAGTGCTTTGATTTCTGGTTTGGCCATGAATGGGAAGGGAAGGGATGCAATTGAAGCGTATCTGGCAATGCTGGGAGCAAATGTTGTTCCTGATGATCAAACGTTCACTGGAGTTCTTTCAGCTTGCAGTCATAGTGGATTGGTTGATGAAGGAATGTTGTTCTTTGAGGGGATGAGCAAAGATTTCAAAAGGATGCCCAATGTTCACCACTATGGATGCATGGTTGATTTATTGGGTCGAGCTGGCTTGCTTGATCGGGCCTATGAACTAATAATGTCGATGTCGAGCAAGCCTGATTCAACGATATGGAGGACCTTACTCGGGGCTTGCAGGATTCATCGCCACGTCGCCCTTGGAGAACGTGTAGTGTGGCATTTAACTGAACTCAAGGCTCAAGAAGCTGGGGATTATGTTCTGTTACTGAACATTTATTCTTCTGTTGGTGACTGGGAAAAGGTGACAGAAGTGAGAAAGTTTATGAAAGAGAATGGGATCCAGACAACCCCCGGATGTACAACAATCACGTTGAACGGAATTGTGCATGAATTCACTGTGGATGATGTGTCGCACCGGCGGCAAAATGAAATTTATGCTATGTTAGATGAGATTGGGAGTCAGCTGAAGATTGCTGGTTATGTCCCTGAAATATCGTGTGAGCTGCATCATCTAAGCTCCGAAGAGAAGGGTTATAGGCTTTCTTATCACAGTGAGAAATTAGCTATTGCTTTCGGTGTCCTCGCAACTCCACCTGGCACAACTATTCGATTAGCTAACAATCTCAGGATCTGTGTGGATTGCCACAACTTTGCCAAGGTCCTTTCAAGTGTTTATGACCGGATGGTAATAATCAGGGATCGTTCTAGGCTTCATCACTTTCAAGGAGGACATTGCTCCTGCAATGACTACTGGTAGGGATGACCACTTGAGGTCAGAAGACGCAACAAATGTGCTCTAGGACAGGTACTCGAGAACATATTGACATTTGGCTAGATTTGGATCGTTGGCATGATGTACACAAAGTTGGCTAGAGCACCAGTGAGTTTATCTTGGGAGGAAGTTCGGGATTGGTAATAAGGACCATTGAATTATTGGATGAGTGGTCTTAGAGCCTGAGATGCCTGAGCAGCTCCCTCTACATAGTTTCTCCGTCTGCAATGCTGAACCCTAGCAACTATGCAGAAGGGATACATCGAAGCCGCCTGAAAATTCTTTTGAGATGCACTTTGAAGGGGGGAAATTTATGCAGACAGGATCTTACCTAACATCCGCAGCAAAAAAGAGCAATGACAAAATTTTGCCGAAATTTGTCTTTCCAAAATGCGGTGGTAGGAAGATCCAAGAACCGTTTTTGGAGCGATTAGTCTATGAGGATACAATCAGGACTATACTGGTTTCATCAACATGACCCTGAACAAAACAAATTGGTAGCGCAAGCACCTTGCGTAGGCAATTGAAAGGTTGTCGAACTATGTTGGGTGTCCTAAGATCTCAATAAGGTTGCATTGATAAGCTCGCATCTTATTTGAGCGACATCAGATTTGTTTAAATTGGTAGCAGCACCTGCAAGGGCACACGGCCTCATTACAAAATGGCTACATCTAAAGCAATCTTTCTATGCATAAGACTGTCAATTCATATGTTAGTGTGTATTTCAACGGAATTCTAATAAGAAGTGGGTCTCATTTACTCCGACTCTCCAACTATGTGTTTTCACTAGTTTTTGACTTTTTGAGATGCGTCCCCTACTCCATATTAGCCTAAACAACCATTTGAAGCTTGGATCGAAAGTTTGCTTGCTCTTTATCCAGCATACCACTCCAGTGCCATTTCGGAGTGCTTCAAGAAGGGATTCAGAGGGGGAAACTTACCGGGATAAGACCGCAATATCAATAAGAAACAATAAAACGAAATCTTCGTCATCACGGGTAATTAGGGTGCAATAACATCCCTCCAATCATCCAACGACATTTAACAAGATCTTGAAGAAAATAACCATACTAAGATAATCCAAAGAAACAGAAAGGGTACAACCAAAATAAAATGAACTCGAAAGAGCGGAAAACACGTAAGTTATCAAATTTTTGCATCTCAATGGGATCAATTCCTTGAAACGGGTGGTATCATTGGTCAGTTAAGAAAGTGCTACATGCTCATACTAGAAACGCTACACTAAAAGTACTTGAAACTTTCTTGTTCAAAATGATTAAGGGAAAGCCTCCTAACAAAATTGACAGCCATCATTTCTCAAGTCAACCTATATTAAGACTTAGAGCTTCATTTGCTTTTTGCTGATAGAACTTAGGCAGCAACTGCTTGCTTCTGCGCGAATGCAATACCCTTCTCAATGCTGGCCTTCAATTCAGGCTTCAGCGCGTCCAGGGCCTTCTGCTCATACTCGGTCAAACCTTGGAGGTCAGAAGGAATCAGTGCTTCAATCCCTTTCCTTCCAAGCTTAACCCTGGATGCGAAAAATGGAAGCTCAGTCAAATCTGACTGAACAAAAGAACACTCGTACACATCCCCATCTCCATCCAAGGCACGAAGAGACGACTCAACAAATCGAGCAGCCGCATATGCCATTGACAAAGTAGAGGATCCAGCACCTGTTGCCTCTACCACTTCTGTCCCTGCATTTTGGATCCTTACCGTTAGGTCTTCCACTTCTGCATCTGTGAAACTAACAGAAGGTCTCGTCTTTGAAAGCAGAGGCAGAATTGTAATTCCAGCATGTCCCCCTACAACTGGCACATCCACATCAATGAGCTTTAGGTTCTTTTTCTGAGCAACAAAGGTGTTTGCCCTCACAACATCCAGCGTGGTGATGCCAAAGAGCTTCTTTGGGTCATACACACCCTTCTGCTTCAGAACCTCGGCTGCAATTGGCACGGTGGAGTTAACAGGGTTGCTGATTATGTGGATGAAGGCATCAGGGCAATTATCTGCTACAGCCTCGACCAAGCTCTTAACTATATTTGCATTGATGTTGAAGAGGTCATCACGGGTCATACCCGGTTTCCTTGGAACTCCAGCAGGTATGACCACAACGTTCACACCCTTCAAGGAATTGGGTAACTCGGAAGCTCCTGTGAAGTCCAGAACTTGCGAGGGAGTATTACAGTGACTTAAATCAGCAGCAACTCCTTTGACATTGGCAATATCATAAAGATGAAGCGCTGAGACCAAAGGGGACATCTTGATAAGAAGTGATAATGGTTGCCCTATTCCTCCAGCTGCTCCAAGAATTGCCACTTTGAAAGACGCCTGTGGCTGCAGATGATACTGCAACCTCTGGCTTTGTTTCTGCGCTTTACATGCAACTGAGTTTTGAAGGGCCACACCACTTTCCTTGCCTAAGAAAGATGAGTCGGCTTCACAGCTCACTGAAGTGGTGGCCTTGAGGCCACTGAAACTCGCAAGAGATGCATGGAATGCGAGTCTGACACCAAAGGGCTTTGGTTGAGCAAGGGAACCACATTTGTGGCCAAAGGAAAGAGTTGATCCAATTGACAAGGTAGGTGCTGATGTCAATGCCATATCTAATAGCCACAAAAATAATTAGAAAATGATACATATGGAAGACGATGAGCAAGACAAAATCTTAACCACAGACTAGAAGTTAAACGCCAAAAAAAAGTTTCTTTTGCGTGAGTAACAGAAGCAATAATGTGAGAAATGGCTGTCATCACTGTAAGCCAAAACAAACCGAAACCCAGAAACTCCAGCAAGTGGAGAAACATAAAGCAGCGCAGTTGTAGTCATCCGATGAAAGCAAGATGGCAATATCCTTCATTAGCATGATCTTTACAGCGAGAGAAAGGGGATGTTCCGTAATAGATCCGAATCCAAATCTTTCATCTTTAAACGCATGAATGGGCACGTGATTTTCCCAAGAAAAAACAATAAAGTCACTAGAGCATAAGCTTGCTTATCTTGCAGTCTAATAGCAAACCTTTCACTCTACCAGGAAGATTCATCTTTCTTAGAACCGATTATACACTCTACAACCTATTCATTTCAAGAAGTAAATCAGCATTTCCAAAAAGCCAATAGGAAATCATACCCCAACGCAGAGAAACCCTCAAGATTTGCGGGAAAAAGAATTCTGCCCACATTGACATAAACGAGATTCTAACAGAAGATAACTAGCAATTTGACTGATCAGTTCCACCATCACAAATAGCACCCAGCACAAACACAAACACACACACGAAAAGGAAATGACGGGCCAGAGACGAATCTCGCAATCCAGAGGGAAACCAAGAACGAGTCTCGCACCACCGATGCAAGAGAGCCAGCGCGCCAAGAATCACAAACAAAGCTTACCCACAAACCAAGACCAGGAATTAAAGCAAGTGACCAAGAAATTCCAGTAAGCACGATAGCGAATTCAAGACCCCCCAGGCTTTTGCTCCGGGGTTTTGTTCTTGGTGACTGTCAATGACTCGGCCACGTGAGCTTCGAGCAAAACACACGCCTCTTTTCTCCACAAAATCTGGCGAAACCTTGAATGGCTATCTTATATACGTAGTGTCTGGGCCAAGAAGTGAGAAGAATATCCCTACCCTTTGCCTTTCTGTTGCGTACCGAATGCTCCTCACTGCTGTGCTAACAAGAACAATCTGCCGACTTTTACTGTGGCTCCAGCAAATCATGGCCGCTCGTTTTGTATGCCCTCTTTGCGGTGCGTGTCGTGTTGATGGTGCCTGATATTTTTGCCTTTTGCCGTTTCGTTCAGTTCATGTTATAGTGATGTTGTTCTACGCGATTTGATTTGAGAGGCTCAATAAAAATCAAAATTTCGCAAATGGCAACAAATTCGTAGCTGAAGTTTGACGCAAGAACCTGCTTTCCCTTTCTCCGAAAGAAAAAAAGATAGTTCTTATTTTTTCCTTTGTAAGAAAACGTCGAGTTTCTTGTTAATTTCTAAACGGATGTACGACGAAAAACTGTAATGGTTTTCGATGAAGGGTGTTCTTGGAGTCCATCTATCTTAGCGCAGACCGCCGGTAAATCATGATTGAATCGCACTTGGTGCAAAAATATTCAGACGACGCAATCCGGTCACTGTACAAGAAAAGGGGTTTGCAATGATAAGCGCAGGTTGAGCATGTCTTGTGGCTACAAAACATTATTAAGGTTGCAAATGTTTGAATGATAAAAGCATAGTTGAGTCAAAGGAATGAACTTCATCTGATGAAACCGCAGGAAATCCACTGATACTGATACGAACGATGTGTCACATTGCCAAAACACAGTCAATTTACTCGGCAAGACTAGTAGAGTAATCGTGCATTGGTGCCATTTTTACGGCTTTTTTTTTTACTTAAATGGCCACATCATTAATCATTTCTCTCATTATTCCCATTCTTAAACAGCTTCTTAGGTCGATGCTAATGGAACGTTGCCCTTAATTTGGCCCATTTCATGCAAGATTACAGCTTTGCACAAGCAAGTGACCACATCTGAGATTTCATCTCCTTATGGCACCGACCCAAGTATTTCTGCTGCATCACACTTGCTGAACGATACTTGACCACATCTGAGATTTCATCATGACTGCAACTTCCATGGCCCATGAAGACTATCATGGTGATTTGCCAAAAAGGGTTTTAGAGAAAGATTTTCTCAAAGAGTTTTGGTGGTTCAGAATTGCTAATATCATGATAACTTCGATGAAACAGAAAGCGCCAGCGAGCTGGAGATGTACAATATCCCTTGTGGACAGCATCAAATAGTCTGATAATGGTATATACTACAAAGAAATACTAACTTCAAAAGCGAAAGTGAATGTCCCTGAATCAGATATAGAGCCATCTTTGATTTGTTCTCATTGAAGCGGTGCGAAATGAACTATAAAAGAGGCGAAAAAGTCCGGATGACGTACCAAAAGCCCTCCACTTCTTCACATGCTTATAATTTCTGCATCTCTTTCCTTAGGGCATTGGCCCTCACCAAGCTGCCGATGGTGTTCACAGCCAGCTTCAAATCGTCCAATGGATTCCCGGGCACCACGGTCTTATACAAGTAGCTATCAAAAGTCATCTTCTGCACGTACTCGTCGGCGCACATCTCCACGAATGCTTCCCTCGCCGGGTTTGACCTATAAAACACCTTCTGCAACACATCCAAGACCTTGTAGGTTGGCCAGTACGTTTTGTCCCACTTCTCCAAGTACTTCCTCAAGTCACTCTCCTCCACCATTCTCTTCCCCTGTTCAGAGCCCTCGATGATGGCTTCCGCACACATTCTGCCACTCTTCGCCGCGAAATAGATGCCCTCGCCTGAGCATTTTGTCACGTACCCAGCAGCATCGCCCACTAGGGCCACTCTTCCGGACAACCTCTTTGGTCGGGGGTGCTCGGGAATAGGGTGTGCCTCCACTCGGATGATCTTTCCGCCCAAGATCTTGTCTTTGGCTCTGTTCCTTGTAGCTAGCTGGAATTTCTTGATATCCCCTTTGTGTGTCACAGTGCCGGTACCGACAGCCACGTGGTCGCATTTGGGGAAAACCCAGCCATAGAAGTCAGGTGAGACATCATCGCCGACATACATCTCGGCTAGGTTTTCATAGTACACCATCTTATCGTCAGGGATTTTGATTCTTTCCTGGTATTAAGCAGAGAAATTGAATATGCAGGAGTCAGTCATCACCACAATTTACGAGAAACTATACTTTGGTCTACAGAGAACTCGCAGCAAGTCCACAAACTATCCATAATGAAGAAACACACAGCCATTGAGCTGTTTTTAAGCAACAAGAACCCATCATCGTAGCTCCAGGATAAGTCATTCGAAGGTAAACACGCATTTTGGCGGAAAAATCAATTAGCTGAAGAAGAATATGCAATCTTTATCCATTTACGCAGTTCCACTCGAACATCGTAACCAGCAGAATAGTTTTCAAGCTCACTTATGGCAGGAAATTTAACCAGTTTCGTTCTCATTGTGCTTGAATATAAATTTCTGCTTCCCTTACAGATAAAATGACCAAGTCTAGTGAACTTCAATCAGCAAACTCCAACATATGAGAGAGACCTACACAAGTGCACATGCACCACAAAAACCTATAACAATTCGTTCTTCTAAAGTTCGCAGCATGTCTCAGCACAATAGAATAGACAATACCAAACAGCATTCTTAATCATCACCATGATCAACTAACGCACCATCCAAAAACAAAGCGCCTCAAAACAAGAATTCCGAATAGATCGAGCTCAAAGTTTCAAGCTTTGCATGAACCACCACCACCACCAAAACATACCTGAAAGGCAATGGCGTAGTCATAATCGCCGGCGCCGATGGACTTGGCCACCCTCGAATTGGCCCCATCAGCCCCTATCACGGCGTCCACCTCCAGAGTCCTCTTCTCCCCAACCCCACCTTTCGTGCCATCGTACTCCGTGAAATGCAGACGGTACGGCGCGTTCTTGTCCTGGGGCATGTCCATTTTCAAGAACAGCCCGTTGATCACCGTCGCGCCGTTCTCGGCCGCCCGCTCCCTCAGGTACGCGTCCAGGACCTCCCGCCTCACCATCCCGATGTACTCGTGCGGCTTCAGGGTCCGCCCGATGTCGACGGCGACGTTCGACGGCGAGATCATCTTCATCTTGGTGACCCTCCGGTCGATGATGTCAAGCGGGAGGTCGAACTCGCCCACCATGCAGAGCGGGATCGCGCCGCCGCAGGGCTTGCAGTTGTCGAGCTTCCGCTCGATGAGGAACGTCTCCACGCCGCCCCTGGCGAGGGTCTCCGCCGCTGATCCCCCGGCCGGGCCCCCGCCGATGACAGCGACGCGGAGGTTGCGGCCGGCGAGCTTGGGGCTGGCCCTGGCGGCGAGGACCCGGAATCTCCGAGCGGCGGGGCGGTGGGCCCCGGTGGCGGCGGCGGGGAAATGGGGCTTCTCCGCCGTGTTCTGGCGGAGCCCGGTGAAGGTCTTGAGGGAGATGGAAGCCATTTTCCGGCGGCGGCGGCGGTGGCGGAGAGAGGGTGGAAGTGAAGTGATTTTTCTAATTTTTTGGGAGTTTAAAGTTGGGATTTATATTTTTTTGGGGGAGGGTTTTTGTGAAAATTTTTGGTAGATATGGTTGGGGGATATGAGGGGGTGCTGGCCGTTGGATTGGGAGATGGACGGCGGAGATCTGCGATGTGGATAATGTTCGAGGATTTTGCACATGGGTCAGGGGACGCATGCATGGGTTTAAGTACTGAGCGCAAGCGGCTCACGTCGTGCCACGTAACGCGTCTTTTGACCATGCAGGCAATAGGAGGGGATCGCTCCTTTCCTTTCCGGCGGGCCTTTGGCATGATCTCTAGTTCGGGTCGAGTAGGGAATCTTTTGATCGTGAACGAATCGCCGGCGTGGCGGGCCGGCGACCTCGGGACCTTATTCGAGATTGATTTAGCCGCTTTAGTTTCTTATTTAAAATAAGGTATAATCTAGATATTTTTTTTTCTAAAAGGATGACCCCACTCCGTATCCTAAACTATTTGTCATTTAAAATAAGTATTGCAATGCGTCGTAAAGCTATTTTTTCGGTGTTACACGGACTCTGACATGAGAAAGTCGTAAAAGACAAGGTGATGCGAGAGACTGATGTACGTTAAACTTTTCTTCGATGCTTCATAGGGAAATTTACGAAGAAATAGAATTCTAGCAAGCTACTTACTTACGACGGATGTATGAAATCGAGTTGATTCGTATATTAATATGATAAGGTGTCAATGCGTTAGGAAAAAAATCGGGTCGGATTAAACATTACCATCTCACTTTATAAAGAGAATTACCAAAAAAGTCATAAATTTATTGTAATTGTGTCAATTCAGTCATGATTTTTTTCAGCCAATTGAGTTATAAACTTTTTGCATTTATATCAATTCAATCCATTTGGTCAATTTTGGCCGGCTGGCACTGACGTAGCCTATAACCGTCTTACGTCGCGTAGGTTGGCAGTATTTATGCCAATTCAATCCATTTGGCAAGCACTGACGAGAACATTTTTAATAATGTTTTAATATTTTCGAATATTTGAATAAATTATTTTTATTTTGTTTTTCCTTTTTTTTTTTCTTTCTTTTTTTTCTTATCCCCTTCCTTCTTCCTCTAGCTGGACCGGCTAGAGGCGAGCAACGGCGAGGTCGACCTCGCCGTCGCTGGATGAGGGTCCGACCTCCGTCCGTCATCCCATATGCTTGGAAGGAGTATTTCCGCAAGGCCTTAATCTGCCAGGCCGATAGCTTTGAATAAGCAATCGGAGCCTGTTTGCCATGGAATCAGCCTCTTGCAAAAGCGGAGGGGCTGTTTGCCGGGGCCTGTATAGAGTGATTACACGTTGGAACTTGATCTACGCAAACTCCAACGTTGACGGATCTTCTCTTGAAGAACAAGCAAGAGATGGCTTTTCGGGTCGATTGATTTTTGTTTCTCTTTGTTTGGTTCCTCGCCGTGGCTGGGCACGGTTGATCTCATCAGATCTGGTGAGGGCTTGCCTAGCGACGATGATGTCAACCTCGTCAGTGGTCGGTGATGTCAACCTCGCCTCTGGCCGGTCGGCGAGATTCGGCAATTGGTAGAGGAAGAAGGAATGGAAGCAGAAAAAAAAAAAAAGAAAGAGAGAGAATAAAAAAGGGAAAAAAATAAATTTTTTTAAAAAATATCAAAATATTATTAAAAATGTTCACGTTAGTGCCGACCGGCCAAAATTGGCTGGATCGACTAAATTGGGGAAAGTACAACAAATTTAGAATTAATTGGCAAAAAGAAAAATATTTATAATTAAATTGGCACAATTGCAATAAGTTTATGATTTTTTTGGTAATTTCTCGCACTTTATAAATTATTGGAGAGCTTGGAGACGTAGGCTTTTAATCAAGGGAAGCATTGAAATTCATTGCATAGCAAATTCTTGCGACTCAATTTTGTTCTTCAGCTTACTTTTTGGCAAACAGATTGACACAACATACCTCAATCGTCGCATATCAATCCCAATAGTTCAATTTAGTTGCTTAAAGTCAATTTACTTTTCAAATGCGAGCAGTCGAAAATCACTCGAATATACTTCATAATCGGCACATTTGGCGATTGATATAGAAACAGAACCGATTGCAAACCGCATCAAAGTCTAGTCATGCGAGCCGAATCTACCCATCCAAATTGGTATCAACCTTGGTACGAAATTTTCCCAAGGTTGGACACGGTTGCTCAACAGGATGAAACAATAACCTGCCCATATTCTGCAATCATGTCATGGTACTACATATATATCATGGTGATTGGTGGGTGAGCTCACCCCTTCAATCGTTTGAACTGGTGCTACCGCTACCCCCATTGCAAATGAAGAACCTCAAATCCTAGTCAAACAGATGTTTGCTTCCATTCATGGTCAATCAAATCATATGATAATCTTCTGGGTCCCTGAGGTTAAATCACAGTTGCAACCATAATGCTCAGGCAGTTGCAGTAGGTTTCAAACACCAACCTTTGGTTGATCAGACCATCTACTATGACTTTTCAAACTAATTGAAAATGAAACATTCCCTTCTCACAGATTCAAACTCCCCAGAGCCCCACCTTAACCCTTTTTAGTACTTCTAACTGTCTTTCCACACTTGTCTCTGCGCTGGTTTTAAATTGCTCCCTCCCTCCCTATTCTTTCAAGAACAGCACCGAAAATCTTCACTTTTAGTCGAGTTGGAGGACCGGGAAGTGAAAGTTTCTGATCATGAAGTTCGCGTTCGCGGTGACGTTGCTGGTCGTGACGGTTATGGGGATCGCCATAGGTGGATGCCACTGCAAGATTGTGCAGTTCATCTTCGGCGACTCCCTCTCGGACGTCGGCAACAATGACTACCTCTCGAAGGGACTTGCCAAGGCGAGCTTACCGTGGTACGGCATCGATTTTGGCAACGGAATGCCCAACGGGAGGTTCTGTAACGGCCGCACCGTCGCTGATATAATCGGTAATGCTTGAACTTACAATTCAGGAGACTCCTAGAAGTACATATTTTGCGCTTCTCCTCCTGAAATTTTGCAGGATCATGGTTACTGACGCAGGTGATAAGACGGGTCTTCCGAGGCCTCCCGCATTCCTCGATCCATCTTTAACCGACGACATGATAATGCAAAATGGAGTCAATTATGCCTCTGGAGGTGGAGGAATCTTGAATGAGACAGGGACATACTTCGTAAGTAGCCAAAACCGATACCTTCATTCCAATCTCTTTCTTGAAGATATTGCCTAAGTTCTCGTACTGAAATGCGGTTGCATTTTTCAAAGATTCAAAGGTTCTCTCTTTACAAGCAAATCGAGCTGTTCCAAGGAACCCAAGAGCTGATCAGAGAAAAGATAGGTGATGACCAAGCAGAGAATTTCTTTCAGCAATCTCTCTATGTGGTTGCTCTAGGAAGCAACGACTTCATCAACAATTACTTGATGCCCGTTTACAGCGACTCGTGGACATATGATGATGATGGTTTCGTCAAATATCTAACTAATACTCTCCGAGATCAACTCACGGTATAGCTAATTTTGTTGCTGATAACACGGAACTCTTTCTTTTTCTTGTAATTCTCCTTAAAGTTTTGACTTTCAGAAATATGTGCACAGATACTACATAGCTTAGGTGCGCGGCAATTGATGGTGTTTGGGCTAGGGCCAATGGGCTGCATTCCCCTCCAGAGGGTGCTAAGCACATCTGGTGGGTGTCAAGAGAGGACGAACAAACTAGCACTCAGTTTCAATCAAGCTACGAGCAAAATGATAGAGGATGCGTCAAGCAAGCTTCCAAATGCAAGTTTCAGATTCGGCGATGCTTATGATGTTGTCAATGACCTTATAAGCAACCCCGTCAAATACGGTACTCAATCAGCATGCACCAGTATCGAGTTTTGTAGAATCTGCATAAGATTTTAGTTCTTTATCTGCATGTTTTCATTCTATTTGATCTTCATGTTGTGCAGGGTTCAACAATTCTGATTCTCCCTGCTGCTCTTGGGGTAAAATTAGGCCTGCTCTTACATGTATTCCAGTGTCAAAATTGTGCAAAGACAGAAGCAAGTACGTATTTTGGGACGAGTACCATCCCACAGATAGTGCTAATGAGTTAATAGCCAATGAACTCATTAGAAAGATGGGATTTTCACGATCTAACCTGACGGATGCTCCATCTGCTCCACCTAATGCGGCTCCTTCCCCACAGGGATAATGCTTTGTCTGAAATCCTATCACTGCGATTGCTGAATATTGTGATGGAATGCGAATATGTGTATGAGCATAGGCTTCTTCATTAATTTAAGATAATTCTACAATTCGAGCTGTTCTTATAAGTTCATCAACTTTTTTTCTCTTCCTACACTTTTTGTCCATACTCAGATATTCGAGTGGGATCAAATGGTTGAAAACTGTTCTGCGACCACTGATGCAGTTTGGAATGGGAACATCGCTTACCAGATGGCATGTCCTCATTCAACTTACAGAAATGCAATATCTCTGCTTAACTACAAACATGTTTTTCGTCAATTAAGAAGGAGATTAATAAAGAAATCGAAACTTTTTCGGTTCCTTGACTTGGGCCTCTTCACTAAAAAGAGCCAGCAAGGTGTAGAGGGAAGTGGATAGATAAAAAAATGGAAATGGAGGGGTAGAAAATGGATGTCTACCGCTTTCACTTTGCAACCCACTTTCTCTACTTAATCGATGGAGCATGCAAAACAAAGTCCAGATGCAGGAACCTTTGTGCTGACAAGCAAAGTTGCAGATTAAATAAATCTAAATTGGATGCGATATAAGTTGGAGAAAGTTGATGGCTGAATACCTAACTTCAGATTTTTCCAATATTTTATCCTCTTCAGTGCATACTGTATTTTGAGTCTGGGGAGGAAAGATAGCTGGAAAGGAGTTGAAGCAGTACAAGGGCATTCGTCCATATAGTTGAAAAAGTATATGCTTTTAGGTTAACTTACATCTGTGTCCGCTCACCAAGCAAGAGCTGTGATTGACCGAATTCGGGGATGTTCCAACGAGAAAATACTCATGATACTAGCTCTGCTTCAGCAGTATATTTGGATGCTATGATTTTCTGCTCCTTTAGGCTAATTCCTCTCCACGAGCAAGGTCACCGATAATTGAACAGACCGTGAATGAACTTAATTCCATGCGACGTACTTGTCTCATGACTTCATATGCACGCACAAAGGGTGAAGCACAAAGGGCGAAGCAGATGATTAGAAACTAAGATTAAAGCCTAAGTTGCAATAACCTAAGAATAACCAACAATAGCCCAGGAAGTTCTGTGTGCTCACAGTAACAACGTGCAGACAGTAAGTGAAAAGCTTAGTTCAGGGATTCAATCTGTCTTTCAGCAACAATAACCAGTCAATTTTAATTGCAAAGCATCAGTCATCGCTCATGTCTCCAATCAACCAGAACGAAAAGCTAAGAAGATGGATCAGAAAATCGCATTGGCAATCTGAAATAAATCTGTCTAGGCTTCTATAGAAACATGCTGATCAAAGCTCTTAGCTGACATCAATCACATTCTCATACTTAACAATTACTGAAGACTAGCTTCATACCCCTCATTTCAATATCACGAGAATTACCTCATAAACTTGGTTTCTAATTCTATTCTGTAGTCTAAATCACCTCTCGCTCACCCGTAGTACAAAAGAATTCTCTAATACCGGTACAGGATCAAAATTAAGGAACCTGATGCTTCTCCACAGCAACATGACATTTAAGATCTACGCTCAATGTAGGGACTAATATGCTCGCTCCTAATACAGAGGAGAACTAACAGTCAGTACAAACTCTCCCAGACTGTGCCTTAGGAGTGTGCCGGTTGTTAGCCCCCGACCCTGGATAATCGTTGAGCTCCACAATCATCCTTCTGCTAACCAGTTTACCTTCCAGATTTCTTCCTTCTTTGATCTGACCATCAAAAATGAATTGGGTCAGTAAAGCAAAGATCTTTTGTGGGCATAATGATCTTAAGTTGTAGTACCAATGAATAAGAGCAAAACATCTATCCAACTCCATATATTACCACATGCGCTTTTACTGGGATTGGGTAATGAACTTTAGGCCTATGCATTAGGCTCCCTGGCCCTGCAAATGCCGAGAAAAAGGTTTGGTCATCAGATGAACAACAAGACAGAGTAGGAGGTTAAGACGGAGGTAGGAAACTATAATGGAAAAATCGAAACATTACTTGTAATCGGGACGGCAACGTTTGAAGACACCAGCAGAGAAAATGTCAGTAATGCAACAAGCATGTGGAAGGAATTGGAAGGAGCCAATGCCCGAATTTCTCTAGGCATGACAGCTTCTATGGATGTTCTTTAGTGATACGGGATGTACTGCATTATATACTTTCTTGTCCTTTATCTTTTGTCCGAGTGTTTTGTAATTCAAGGGGTAAAGGGAAATGTGTCTGCTTTTCAAAAAGTTGATAGCAACACAGATTTTGTGGAGACTGCATGCGTCAAAAAATCTTGCAGAATCTCACTTTTGCGCCTCAACTCTACAACATGAACCGCAGATATGAACACCCATAACGATGGTGACAACTAATGAGGTATTCTTTTGATGTCTAGGGTTTGTCAAGTGGTGATAAACATGATAAAACCCCATTTATAAAAGTCCGGATGGTGGGAAAAGGTAAAAACACACTAGTGAAAGTGGATGATGACCCAAGAACAATGATGCTAATGCGCAACAGCAGAGTAAGTGTTGCTGCACTAATCTTAAAGTCAATGGTATGGTGGGGATTGTAATTAGGGTTTCTTGTATCCTATTAATTAATTCAAAGGGTGTGTTGACCAGGACTTAGGGGGCAAAACACTGTGGAAGAGTGGAGTCAAAATGGCTACAAAAGGGCGGTCCTTTTGCCATGGAAGTGCCATAAAGTGTGAAAGTTGATGGGAAGCATGCAGCATTCATGTCATGACTAACAATATAGATATAAGTACTAGAGTGGGAACTACTGAATTACAAACGAACTTTTATAAATATACTAAATTTTCGGTGAAAAGAGTATCTTATTCGAGTGTCGTTAATCTCGTGGCATGTGTAAAAATTGGTTGTTGCAATTAACTTAATACATAAATGACAGTTTTGTTGACATTGTGCCGTCTTTATGAGTTTTGAAAGCATACATGCCTAAGCATCCCAAATGATTTGATAACTCGCACCCTCTTTAAATCCACAAAATTAGTTATATTTACACCATAGAGGAAAAAAAAACTTAAGAATGTCCATAATGTACCTCTACTCTATTCTCCTATCTTAAATAGTGGGATACTTTTTCCATTGGAAAAATAAACATGCATGTTTGTGTCTGTCAACTCCTAGGGCTGATGCAGCCGGTGGGGCTCGGGAGATTTTGCAATATTAGAATAAGATGTCACTTATTCAGATCTTATCAACTGTATACAAACTGCTCCATCTTAAAGTCAAGTGCATATGTTAAAGGTCTAAACTTTAATGGTACATGGCGCTTGTAGGATGTTTTAAAAGCCTCCAAGCAATCGGACTCCGTGCTTGTGTTTTTGGATTATCAAAAAGGGAAAATTCTTGGGGTCCAAGAGAAACACAAAGTGGCTGCATGAGAACACAACTTTTTCTTTAAGTCGAAAAGGAAAAAACTCATTTTGCATGCCTTCTTGATTCATGATGATGTGCTGCAATAATTTCACATTCCACATATTATGTTCAAACTTTGTAAGTGTGGAAAAGAAAAATCACGAGGACCGCATGTAATTATCACTTCGATGGTAAGGCCAAAAGTCCAATGAGGCTTGTGTGTAAAAACATGTGTTTACATTAGAAAGGTTTCGTTGACGAATGCTCTCAAAGCACTCGCTAAATACACATATACATAAAAATTTGCAATTCGGTGCATTTTCTTTATAACGATAGTGCATTGAAAATTAATTTTTTTCCTATTACGTATGAGTAATCCTTGCTCACAGGATAGTAAGCTTCCATTTGTTTAGCGAAAATTGAATAATTTAGAAATTATTTTCCTAAAAATGATCGTTTATATCGTTTGAAATAATCAGTCGATAAAATTTTTTTAATTATCGATAATAATTTATGTCTAAATATTTTCGTGAACGATGAAAAAAATTTTGTTTAGTCATTTTTATGAGTAAAATAAGCGATAAATTTTAAGAAAACGTTTTTTAAAATTATTTATTTTTCGTTAAATAAACGTAACTTTGAAAAAACGAAACTCTTTTTGGAGAAAGATGGGCACTGCATGCTTTGCTCCAAAAGTGAATGAGAACACCATGATTAAAGCCATGAAGAAAAGTCATAATGCTCAACTCAGGCCACTCCACTTATCATATATACATGTAAGTCAGCCATGGAGCCCTACAAGCACATGTTGCACTTTGACCTAAACGCATAATTTGCGCAACCTTTTTTAAGTAGAATTATTTTATTAGATTCATCGTCGGTGTAAAAAATAATTCATATGCTCACAATTAGATGGTTTCTATAAGGAAAAATTCAACTACGAGACTGATTTCAAACACACATGCGTCACTCATCCAGCGGTAAATGTGTAAATAATTTTTTACTTTGGTGATGGATCTAATAACTATCTTTATTAAGCGTTCCCCTCCCTTTCTCTCTCATCGCTCCCTCCCTTCCTATCTTTCGTTTGATTCTTCATGTACTTTTCTTGACAGGACAATTATTCAAAAAATTCTAAGCCTATTGTACAACGGTAAATTCAGTCTTAAACCTTTCAATTGTGTCAATTTTGAAAATTTGCTAATTCATTCTTAAACCTATTATTTGGATAATTGGCTAGAAGGATTATATTGATAAATTGTCAAAAGATTTAGGACTATATTAATAAATCGTCAAAAGTTTTAGGACTAGATTGGTATAATTGGAAGGTTTAGGATTGAATTGACCTCCGTACAATTGATTTAGGAATTTTTGGATAATTTTTGGACAATTTTCTCTTTTCTAACCATAGCATGATTTAGCAAGTTATCCAATTTGTTATCAGTGTCAAAGGTAGCGACACACAATATGGAAATTCTTTCTTCTCATAGTGCAGGTACATTAATCTCTTTTTCTAGCCAAGACTTTTAGGGGAGGGGATACTAAGGTAGAGGTGGCAATACGGGTCAAAAACCCATTTATTAGCTCATTTTTAGTGGGCCCAGGTTGAATATGGGTCACTTGAAATTTTGAAATAGGTCAAAATGAGTTTGCAACATTAAAGTCCAAGTTTATATGGGTCAAATATGGGTTGGATATGGGTTTGCAACAAACCCATTTAAGTTAGTAACTTGTAGCCTTGTAGGCTAAATAGCTTAAGTGACATTTATTTATTTTTTATTTTTTAAAAAAATCGAATTTTTATTTTTTATTTTATTTTCATTTTTTTCTTTTTCTTTTTATTTTCTGTTTCCCTCTTCTCCGGCCGGTCGCCGGCCATGGCGACCGGCCATAGGCAAGCTTCAAGCTCGCCCGAGCTCGCCGATCTGGCCGAGCTAGCTAGAGGTCGACAAGCTTGAGCGAGCTCGGCCAGATCAGCGAGCTTCGAGCTTGTCAAATGAGCTCACCTGCGTTCGGTCGTCGGCCGAAGAAAAAGGAAGAAGAAAAATAAAAAAAAAATAAAAAATATTTAAAATTTTCATTTTTAAAAAATAAAAAGAAAATAAAGATATATAAAAATATAAAAATTTTTAAACTATAAAAACTGTAGCATTTTAGCAATATAAATATTATAAGAAACAATTTTTTTTTAAAATTGGATTTTAAAGACTTTTAGAATACGGTCGGGTTGGGTATGGGTTGGGTTTGGGTCATTAGATTTACATTACATGAATATGGGTCAAAACGGATTAAATGGGTCAACATAGGTGAGACCATTTTTGACCTGACCCAAACCCGACTCGATCCACCCGTTTGATACCCCTATACTAAGTGAATGGTGTTCGATGGGCTTGGGAACCGATGGTTGCGAATTCGGTTGATGTATCGAGGAATATATATTAAAGTGAGGATTATGGCGATTGGTTGCCGTGCTAATGCCCTTCAAATATCCGACTAATTATGGTTTCACTTTTGGATTCTGAAGAATAAGCGGAACAAACTCGTATTCAAGCAATCGCTTATCTTTCAACATGTAATAAAGAAAAAATAAAATTGTACAATTTTCTGTAACAATTTCTACTTAATTTTACAACTAGATATAATATTTGATATTATACATTTAAACGCGTAGAAAGATTTCTCCTTTATTTTCCTATTTATTTATTGTTTGGCCAACTATTTTCCTAATTATTTACTTGTTAATTTCTTTTACCTTTTTTTTTCAGCCACTATTACTACACAACGAGGGACAAAGAAGAGAAGAAACCCACTTCATGAGCTCGACATATCTGCCCACAGGAGGCCTAGAAGTTCTTTTGGGCCACAAATCTAGTCCTCGAGCCCATAATTAGAAGGCCCAATTCTTAATTAGATAATCACAATTATCCCTTTTTCTCACATCGTGTGATTACCAAGATCATGATTTAGAGAAAAAAATTTCATTTTCAAAAATTTAAAAAGGATAATGATACAAATAATCCTTAAACTTTGACGAAGTATGATCCCTAAACTTTTTTTTTTTTAATGTGATTTCCAGACTTTTCATACATGTTCAAATTAATCTTTAGATTATATGAAAATGTCCAGTATCATCCTTTCATTAATTCAGATTCAAGGACATCATTGAGCATTTTCATAAAGTTCAGGAAATAGATTAAACATGTATCAGAAATTCAGAGACCGCATTGAACAAATTGAAAATGCAGAAACGATATTGCACATTGAGCTAAAGCTCAGGGACTTCATTGGACAAATCAAAAGTTCATGGACTATATTGCACGTGGTGCCAAAGTATTCGGGGACCATTCATGTCACTTTCTCAATTTAAAGTACCCCGATCGATCCATATCCCCCGACAACGACCGTTCGATCAAATCGAAGACTCACGGCCGTCCACGGGGCCGGCCCAAACGCCGCGGAAAGCGGCCTTCGGGGTGCACGACAAGCCTAATCCAATCGCGGGGTCGCGATCCGATTTCTTAATTACCCAACACGAGACGCACTTAAGGTAAAGTGATTAGATTAAACTAAAGCCCCCCCCGGGGGCAGGAAAAAAAAAAAAATCGGTTTGACTTTTTTTTTTCCGCACCGAAAGACCGAAAAGGAGGAGGAAGACCCGAAGTGCACGCTCGGGGGCGCGTAACCCCTCGCTTTCTTATCGTCCACGTGGCGCACGCCCTGCCCCAAGCGAAAAAAAGGCCAGGACGACCGAGCGGGACACGTGTCGGAGCGCGGGAGGGGGAGGGGGTGGCCGGGGTCAAGGCGGTAAATTCCTCCGCGCCGGCCCGGGGGCGAGCTCGCACGTGCCGCGCGTTCGGGACACGTGTCGGCCGGTCGGGGGGGCCTCGGGGGGTGGGTGGGTGCAGATTTTTTTCTCCTGGCTGTTCCCCCGGGGGCTTTTCCAGCTTTAGGGGGGGGCTTTTATAGGGTGGGGCCCCCACGCTGGAAGTAAAGAGACGTGCGTGCGGGGGTGCTGACGTGGGGATAAGCCGTGCTTATCCGAAGAGAGAGGGTAAAAGTATGCGTAGGCTTCTGTTTGTTTTCGTGCGGAATGCGACATCGAGGGAGTCGTTTTTTTAAAGAAAATAATGATTTTTTGTTTTTGGTATTTGACTAAAGCCTGAAAAAAATTGTATTGGGACATATTCCGTCGTTTTGATAAGGGAAGATGTTATATGGTTTTTTTTAAATAGGCATAAGCTATTTGAGTGCCAATAACTAGCGTATGGATGGGTAAGGAATCGAGCACCAAAACTAGGATCTCGGGCTTGGATCCCCGACTCCTGGGCACGAGCACGGGCACCTATCCCAGGTCCACAAGCTCGGGTCGAGACCCCAGCGTCCATCGAGGCGGGGCCTCGAACCCTAGTGCTCAGTACCAAGTACCCCAGCGCCCCGACCCGAGTCCGAGTCCATCGAGGCAGGGTTGGGACTCGTAGATTCGGGCACAGGCACTAGGGTCTCGGGGCTGGCCTTGATGGATATGGGCCCAGTCTTGATGGACCCAAGCTCGGCAGCAATGGTCCCACGCACGGGGGTCTCAGGCTTGGCCTCGATGGACCTGGGCCTGGGCGCTGGGGAATCGAGCACGGGCACCAGGGTCTCGGGCCTAGCATCGATGGGCCTTGAAATGGTCACGCGGTGCCGGGGACTCGAGCATGGACACTAGGGTACTAGGCCCAGCCTTGACGTACCCAGGTCCAACCTCGATGGACTCGGGCTAGGAACTCAAGTACAGGCACTGGGATAGTGGGCCCAACCTCAATGGACCCAGGCATGGGCACTAGGAACCTGGGTTCGGCTTCGAGGACCTAGGCACTAATGCCGGTGTCTTGGGCCCAACTTCGATGAGCTAAGGTGCAAGCGCCGTGGACCCCGGCCCAGGCATGAGGGGTCCTGGCCCAGGCATGAGGAATCCTGCCCAGCCTTGGTGTACTCGGGCTTGACCTAAATGGACTTGGGCCTGGCCTCGATGGACCCTGCCATGGTGTCAAGGCCTCGGGCCTAGCCTCGGTAGTCTTAGTCCCGAGTGTTGGAGACTCGAGTACCGTCACTAGGTCCCAAGTCCGGCCTTGATGGACTTGGACACGGGCGTTGGGGACCACCCAGTCCTAGGCGTGGGGACTCGGGCACAGGCATCTAGGTCGTGAACCCCGCCTTAATGGACCCTTGCTCAAGCACCCCGTCTTGGATGCTGGGGCCTCGGGAATGAGTTTTAGGGTTCCCGTACCCAAGCACAGAGTTTTTGGTCCAAACACCGATATCTAACATATTTTGGAAAGATGATTTCCGATTTTTTTAAAGAATAAATTATTTTCATGAATTTAATATTAATTGTCCATTTTCCGGGAAAACATTTTCTATTGACTCATTTCCCTAGGTGATCCAGATGCCGGAAAATGCTTTTTCATAAATATTTTCCAAAAAAATGATTGTTTATTTATCTTGAAATAATTAGTTATTTTCATTATGGATAATAATTTATGTCTAAATATTTTCGTGGATGATAAAAATATTTTCACTCATTAATTTCTGTAAGTAATACGAGCGGTTATTTTTAAATTATTTATTTTTTGTGAAATAAATATATTATTTATACTTTAATTCTATTGTGGGGATTTTCTTTAATTTGAAAAAAAGGAGAAGTTCCTGTTGCGCGAGGAGGCTACAGAAATCCAGCGAAAGGCTGCGCAATTATTTATGCGCCACGTCATATTATTATAGCTTTCTTTGCCTCATCGGGCTCGCCACTTCTCATTTGTTTTTGAATTGACCTCTTAACGAGCCAAAAAAAAAAATCAAATTATAATACCAATCATTAAACTTATAATATAAATAAGCTGATATGACATGTGAAGTGGCCAACGGCGACGTTTTAGAGCAACCGATCAGTCGAGAAAGAAAGCTGGAGTGGTCAATTGGAATATGCACGACATCATATTAGTTCAAGTGTTAGAATTCACTACACAATCACAAAGAAAATAGAGAGTAAAAGCGAGAAAGAAAATTTGAAATGCAAGATTTTATCATGGTTCATCCTTAAACCATGGGTACTTCCACTATAATTAGCACATCGCACATCTCTGCTACATTTATTAATTACAAAAGAAATAAAATATATATAAATAATAATTTGATTCAAAATAGGAAAATTTTTTCTAGGGATCCCGTGATGTCTTGTTGCTGGGGAGTATGAATCACACCCCAACGTTAAGAAGAATGAAAATTTGACTATTTTTTTTGGAAAAACGACATATCATCCGTTTTCTATCGACCGTCGGCAGTATCTTTTTGGATTTTCCTCAGCCATGTATTACATCAAGTTCGGCTGGGTTACATCATAAAAATAGTAGGAAAAATAGAAGAAGAGACTTCTTCTATTTTTCCTTACTAAATTTAACTAATGACATAGGACTTTTTAGCTGACAAATGACTATAAAGTTTTTTTTTACAACTGACGTGCGGATTCATAAGAGACTTTCACCGCTAGCCACATCGATCTGGATGGACGAAAAAGTTAATGGTGAGTGCCCTTGTCAGCTGGTGAAATTCGTGAAATTCGTGGTGGTTTGAAATGTCGGTTTATTTTGTCCTCCAAGTAATGGCTCGTGGGTTTTTCTTTTTGGAGATTTTGGCAGTTTTGCACCATGTTATGCCATGCAAAATTTGCTTTAGTCCGCGCCAATCATCCTGAATCAGAAGATATTGCGTGGCTTGACTTCGTTTGTTTCGCGAAAAATGAATGATTTGTAAAATATTTTCCAAAAAGCGATCGCTTGAAATAATTAATCAATGAATTTTTTTTCATTGTTGACAATAATTTATATCTAAACATTTTTCATGAACAATGAAAATATCTTCCATTTAATTATTTTTATAAGCAACACAAACGATCATTTTTAAGAAAATATTTTTCAAGCCATTCATTTTCCTCAATCTTCTGGTTACACTATCCATGGATTATTGAGTGTTGATAAATCAAAATGTTGACGGACAAATTCAATTTTGGAAAAGAGTTAATATTACGAAAAATCACAAATTGGTGCATTTGTGATAAATTTACCCTAAATAGGTACGCATAACAAATTTACCCATAAACTAATTTTTTAATCACCAAAAACTCCAAATTGATAATTTTGTGACAAATTTACCCTTCGTTAGTTTCTGTCAAATTGAATTATTACTATGAAAAATCACAAACTAGTAAACCTGTAAAGTCAACTGCCACGTGTCATTCAACTCGGTAATTTAATGGTAAAACTTAACAGAAATTAACAGATGGTAAATTTATCACAGGTGTACCAGTTTGGAGTTTTTGGTGGACAAAAAATTAGTTTTGGGTAAATTTATCACAAATGTACAAGTTTGGAGTTTTTCGTGGAATTAACTCTTTGGAAAACATTATCAAAATTTTTACCAAGTTGACATTATCAAAGTTTTTACTTAATAACATTACTCTAACTAACATCGAGTGGCGAATTAACAATGCCAAAAGCTTAAACAAACAAATCTAATGCTTGAGAAACAAAGGCAACATAAATATTTATGTGTTTGAACGATATCTATATATATATATATATATATATATATATATATAAACATGACCTTACACCAAAACAACAACAACAATACTAAATGAATCTATAAAAAAAATGAGTTTTATATTATATGTATAAGATATTCCGACAAAAAGAAAATAAGGAGTGCAAATTTCCTATTGAATTTTCAAAATAGATCAAATTTGCATGAATTTGTCGTCTACCTAGAATAAGATTCCCTTTGTATATGAATCGGTAAAATTATATATAACTGGTGTCGTACTTATGTCGACCATTCGTACCATCTTAAGTCACTACAAAGATGTTTCAATGTGAGCACGTAAGGTTTTCCATTAGAAACAAGTGAAAACGCATCGATCCGTGTCGGTTTCGAATCAAGTCACACCATATCGAGTTCGAGTCTCTCTCTGTAAAACGAGGAAATGTTGAGTGCATCACCATTGTTCTATTTCACCAACCTTTTTGTACCTTGGCTAAGTCCGAGCCCGATTGGGCGATGTCGGGTCGGGTCGGGTCGGGTCGGGTCTGGACACACAAAAAAGGTGGGTGCACCATCTTTTCGGTGCAACCTCTCACAAGAATCAAAAGCCGTGGGCCTAAGGAAACGAAAATCTCAAGGCCACGAGAACTTGTGGCTGAGAATCCAGCCCCGCCGCTGACGTGGCACCCACCTCCGGCTCTCTCTTTCTCTCTCTCTGAAAAACAGGGGAGTTTCACATGACTTTTAAAGACTGACGCTTTAACAATCTTGCTCTTCCATGCCAACCCAAGAACTCAACACCTGCCTGCTAACAGGACACGGACGAGCACCCGAGAGAAGAGTGAGTGCACTGAGGGAAGAGAAGCGAAGGAGAATGCTGGAGATGACGAGCGACCCCGCCATCAAGCTCTTCGGCAAGAAGATCCCCCTGTCGTCCAGCGGGGAGTCGCCGGAGGCCTCCGGCGACGGCCTGGCGTCTTCGGGCGTGAATTCGTGTGAAGACGACGAAGGTTCAGAGAAGGTACGCTTTGTGGGGTACGAGGTGTCTGAGCAGTTTGAGGACTGCCCATTTATACAGAGCACCGAAAAGATTTGACGGGTCTCTCTGTCTCTCTCGGTCTCTGCTTTTCTGTACTTGCGTGTGATGCTCTGTCTCTGGATAATCCTGTGGAACTTTTTGGAATCCTGGGAATTCTTTTGCTATCTTTGGCTTCCTTTTCGATGGTGGTCTGTGGATTGGCTTTTGATTTGATCCCTGAAGTTGAAGGGCATAGACAAGTTAGTGTGGAGACAAAGGAAACTACCGGTTTTGGGTTTGTTTTTTCCATCACCGAGCAACAAGATCACTAAAGCAGGTAGTCTTCACGAGGCGAATTCTTTCACTTGTTTAAGAATCTTGTCTCCACTTAAAACGGCATAGAACAGAGACGGCTACGACCCTGCCATCTTCATCCAGAAAAGAAGGGGAAATAAAAACGTAAATCTGACAAAACAATTGAAATTTTTAAAGGATGAATCGGAAGAAGGAAAAGATCTGTTTCTTTTCCTATTTCTTTTATGTGTTTTTGACCAAAACATGGGATGAATAGTCTGTCTGTATTGGTCAAGAATGATGTTTTTGGTTTTCGCCTTAGTTATAATTTATTGAAATCTTCACTTCTTCCCTGTTTAAAATATGGTATAGAGAGGCCTCTTAGCCGTATACTGTCTGCTATGATCCATGATGAGCATAATTTATACTATACAGATAGAGAAATTCTGCATACACTCTTAAATTCAAATCCTAGACATCACATGTGAGCTGATATTGATTTTTATTACCAGCTGCATAGGTCCAAGACCGCGCGTTCTGGATCTGTCACTATTTTAATTCACTGAATCTTTGTCTTTTTCCTTAATCATGTCAAATTTCTCGGAGAACTCATCTATGTCTCCCTGGTCCTGGCGACAGGATCAATGTTAAGAGACACATTCCAGAACTTTCCAAGACTCTAGCTTTAGCTATAATGGCAAATAAACAATGGAAAGAGGGATGGCTTTATTTTAGTCAAGAAACGATGGCAAAAGCATTCCTAGATGCTGTTCTCATTCTTTCCTGTTGCCCTTGCTTGTTCTGTTGCTGGTCATCATTTTCTTTTTAGAATTTTCCTAGCGAGACTTTCACATCCATTGCTTACTACTAATTTACCTCCACTTTGTCGTGTCATCAGTGTCATTCCATTGAAAAAGTTGCCATGGAAGTGCAAGAAGATGATGACCAAGTTTCACCAGAAACTGTGAACCCCAAAACACCCTCCATTGAGGAAGAATATGCTCAATCGAAGGCCTCTGGCACTGATCAAGAACAGGGCGATTCGCTGAACTCGCAGGAGAAGCCCCTGAAGAAGCCGGACAAGATCCTTCCTTGCCCGCGATGCAACAGCATGGACACCAAGTTCTGCTACTACAACAACTACAACGTCAATCAGCCCCGGCACTTCTGCAAGTCCTGCCAAAGATACTGGACTGCGGGCGGTACTATGAGGAATGTTCCCGTGGGAGCTGGGCGCCGCAAGAGCAAGAGCTCAGCTTCGCATTATCGCCACATCACTATCTCTGAGGCTCTTCAGGCAGTTCGAATTGATGCTCCGAACGGGACTCACCTCCCAAATGGGAAGATCAATGGTACTGTTCTCACCTTTGGCTTAGATCCATCTGCCGGTGATTCCATGGCTGCTGTGTTGAATCTCGACAATAAGAAAGGATCGGCTATGAATGGAGTGCGGAATGGGTTTCATGACTTCGGAAGGAATGGGGTTTCGGTCCCGCAAAGGAGTGGAGAGAAGAATGACGATTGCTCGAGCCGATCTTCTGTCCCAATCTCGAACTTGACGGATGAAGGAAATGGGAATCCCTATCTGGAAGGATCCAGTGCCAATGGATTCCATCCTCAGTTTCCATGCTTTTCGGGTGTTCCTCAGCCGTATCCATGGAATCCCACGTTTCTTCCACCGCCTTTATGTCCTTCAGGATTCGCTGTGCCGATTTACCCTGCAGCGCTTTGGAACTGTGGCCTCCACAATGGTTGGAATTTCCCTCTGTTGTCGCCTCCAAGCCAAAAGGCATTGAATTCAGGACTAGATTCGCCAACTCTTGGGAAGCATGCAAGAGAAGTCGAGATGCTTAAAATGGACGAATCTGTGGAAGAAGAGCCCAGGAAACGGCAGAACGGATGTGTCTTGGTCCCAAAGACTTTACGTATAGATGACCCAAGCGAGGCCGCGAAAAGTACTATATGGGCTACTCTGGGGATTAAGAAGGACTGGCTAGGTAAGGACGGGTTGTTTAAGGGCTTCCAATCAAAGGGTGAGGAGAAAAATCACATATCAGAAACCGTCTCTGTTTTGTGCGCTAACCCTGCAGCCTTGTCGAGATCTATCAAGTTCCACGAGAGCTCTTGAGTTTGGCTCATGATGACTACAGGTAGAAATAACGGCAGAAAAACATTTGGAACTGGGATGTCATCTTTCTGTGGTGATTGCAGTGACTTGCATTGTTTAGAACAGAGAGAGGCAAGTCATTGATTGGCTGAGACGAGCATAGGAAAGCGATAGACCCTGACTCACCAGAGTTTGCAGCGAACTAGTGCTAGTGTTAACCCGTTGGGAATGTTTCCTTTTCTTGTGTGCTAATAATGTTGAATGCACGCGCTTGTACATAACTCCTGTAAAATATTTGAACGAAATGGAGGGAGCTTTTTCTGAATTTTGTACCAGTTCTTCATGTCTCTTGAGAGATGTTTCTTAAGTTCATCCTGAATCAAAGCAGTGATGCTTAAACCTCTTCGATTTCTTCGAATGTTCCTTGTAATCATCAAAGTGTTCTTGAAATAATGTTCAGAGCATATATGATTGAATCGCTCATGGATGACAACCGAAGCAGGGCACAGCTTTGGAGGAAGAAATATAACCATACGGACTTGTACAGCAGAAAAATCCCACTTTTTCTAGATTCTGAGACAGATGAGCATCAAGTAAAAGCGACATTTTTTCTTTCCATGCAATCCAAAGCATTAATTGCACAATTTGGCAATGAAAGGTCAGTACTTCACTGTTTCTTTGGTCTATTTTTTTCAGAGGGGTATTAAGAAACAGCTATTAGCAACGCATGGTTTCCACAATGCTTACGGAGATCGCCATCGATGGATACGAAAACGGATAACTTCATCCGGTCAGCATGAGAACTGCCCACCAACATTTCCCTTTTTTTTTTTCAGAATCTAACTACACAAGCGAAGACAGATCAGTGAGAGACCTTGATAAGTCAGACACGGAACATTTGAGATATTTTGTCTCTGCAAAGCATATATCAGCCACAACCTGCTCATCACATCAGCTGTTATTTGCCCTTTTGACCAAGACAATTCGATGGATTTCTTTCTCCAATGTCGGTGCTTCTCTGTTCCATCTCTGTCGTTTCTCTTCACAGGGAAGCAAGCGCACAGCGTATCGATTTTGTGGGCCTAATTGCAGTTTTCATAGGAGACTGATCTGAGCAATTAAACCGGAGAAAAGTTTGGCATGTGAACCAACTTGAAGTAGTTTATTGAACATACTTAGTGAACAGGGGATGTAGTCTAGCCTGCAATTCAATTCTGATTCACTGAACAATGCCTTGAACTGAGTCAACCTTCATATGCTGAAGATGGAGAGGTAAACACATCCATGCAAGTTTCTAGCTCTGGCTTCACTGGCAATCATTGACTCTTGAATCCACAATAAGTCCACACATTAATGGCTTACTATGAATTTGGGTGTGGGGGGGTGGACATCAACCTGGAAAGATGGCCATGTCTTGGAGTTATCACTGGTGGGAAAAGTTAGTTCTTGAGCCATTGGGTCTCAGAGTCAACTTCCACCATAACATGTCTCCAAAGTGACTTTGGAGATGTCAAAGATAATGTTTTTATTCATATTGAACTTTCGCTTCACGCATGGAAAGTTATTATGAAGTCAACGAGCTCTCATTTTAATATTAAGGTCGTCCAGGAAATTTTATTATTATCATCTTCCAGATTAAAGTGCATCATTAGGTAAGAAATGCACATGCATTAAAGTAGGTGAAAGTAGGAAAGAAGCACCAAAAAGAGGAATGGCACTCGAATCCTTTCGAGAAAGAGGGGTAGTATTGTGAAAGATACACGATGAGTGAAGCTTATTTTAGATCAACATTCCTATTTCCAATTTATCTCGATCTATTTGCTGAATTATTCCATTGATTTGTGCGCTTGTTATTATTGTTGTTGTTATATGAAAATGTTGGTTTGAACTCTTCAAGGAGTTGGCTAAGTGATTAAATGTTTGATTTGGATTAAGTAAATCTAACTGAGATTAACATTATTGGTTGCGACTATTATCCTGTGGATGGAGTCTTATCCGATGCACGTGATCGGTGTAGTTTGCGTGTATCTATGAAATTTCATCAAATGGAAAGTACCGAATACTTTATATATTGATCTAAATTAAAAGTAAATATAATTAAAAAAAATTAAAGCAATGAAATATGAAATAAAGAATATTAAGATAATGAAAAAGATTGATACATATGAAGTTTGGTTTTCTCAAGCCATGGACTTTGTACTCAAAAGAGGAGCGTTCGAATGTAACATTCTGTCAATTCAAAAGCCCATAAGAACAAGCGGTGGCACATTGTAGGCTGAAAAGCCCGCAAGAAATATGACAGGAGTATGCTACATTTCACACATCTTTAATAAAAGGCTTAATACTCTAAAAAAAACCTTTAGCTTTAGCTTTTTGTTCCGCACCGCCATCACGCAAATACGTAGCGAATGCCTCGACATACTATACATAAAGCAAGCTTTCAAATTTGGTATCCACTCCGAATATACCATTACATTCCCGACCATTTGATTGTCCCCTCGGGCCCAAAAGCGGCGGCGACTTCACCTCGACCGGCCGGCCGACCACTGGCAAGGTCCGTCCCCACTTCTTCCACCACCTTTTCCTCCAAAGACGGCAGTGTTTGGTCAGCGCAGGAGGAATCACGACGAGCAATTCCGGCATTTCAATCGTCACAAGGCTTTGGCTTTTCATGCATGGGGTCACGACGAAGAAATGCCGCCATTTCGATCTTTATAAATAAGAGCAAGCAATGCCGGCACTGCATCGGTGAATCACAATTTCATAACACCAGTGTTGCGGGTGGAAAAGTAAAATTCAGATCATCGCGCCTTTCTGTCTTACTTCCTCAGACCCACAGGACAAGCCCAGGAAGAACTTCAAAGAAGAGGCCTTCCGTTTCGGCTGACGTCCTTGTTCGTTTTGAAAGAGGGAAGCATTTCGGGCATTTCGTCGGAGGATCACAAATCCACAAGGCGATTCGAGTAGCTCATCGGCCATTCTGAGAGAGAAAAAGATGAGTTCCCCGCTGCCAATTCCCGACGATGTGTATCCCGTGAAGCGGAAGTCCACGTCGTTGGCATTCCATTACTCCTCCCCGCTCGACAATGCCTTAACCTGGAACGAGTTGGGGACTATGCCATACCGCCTAGTCTGTGAAGAAGAGACGTTGATGGACTACTCGTACAAGGTGGACACGCTGCCGGAGGAGGAGGAGGTGAGGGTGGAGATCAGGTGGGGATGGGCCTTGCGAGTGATTGGCCGGAGGGATGCTCTTACGGCCAAGGTGAGGTTGCCGAGGAATCATAAGGCGAGGGTGAGCGGGGCCACGGCTTTGTTAGAAATTAAACCAAATTTGTTAGTACTCGTTTCTTTTTTGAGTCTGTTTGTATTTCCATATTTTGATAGATATTGTGAGATATTGTTTCTAGTTATATTTTAGGAAAGTTTCCTAAGTCAATTAGATTTCCTAATTAGAATAGGTTTCCTAAAAAGAGGTTTCCTATTTCGAATCAAACTATGGTCTATATATAGTCTATTTCTCTTGTAATCGAGACATGCAATAGAAAGACGCGAATTGCGATTGTTTTACTTTCAAAAATTCCTTTCATCAAATCAATATTGTTGCCGCGCCTCTGACGCTCAACAAATTGGTATCAGAGCTTACGGTTCGTGATCATGGCCTCAACGAACAATCAGCTTCCTCTTCAATACCCTCGTCTTACCAAAGAAAATTATGGTAACTGGGCTGTTAGAATGAAAGCTCTACTCGGTGCCTACGGTGTGTGGGAATTTGTTAACACTGGCTATGATGAGCCAGAGGATGAAGCCACGTTGAACCAGAATCAGAGGAATGCCTTGGAGAAGGCTCGAACGAAAGATCAATATGCTCTGTCGATCATCTATCAAGCGTTAGATGATTCCATGTTCGAAAAAGTTTCGAACGCCACTACCGCTAAAGAGGCATGGGAGATTCTTCAAAACACACATCAAGGAGTTCAGAAAGTTCAGAAGATTCGCCTTCAAACCTTGAGAGGCGAATTCGAGGTAATTCGTATGAAAGAATCTGAATCGATTGCTGATTATTTCACGAGAATTTTAGCAATTGTTAATCAGATGAAAAGAAACGGAGAAGAAGTTTCCGATGTTCGTGTTGTTGAGAAAATACTTCGGTCCTTAGACAAGAAGTATGATTATATTGCGGTTGCAATCGAAGAATGCAAAGACTTGGATGCCATGACGGTCGATGAACTTATGGGTTCATTACAAGCCCATGAAGAAAGGTTTAGAAAAAAAAAGATTGAACCGGTGGAGGAAGTTCTCCAAACGCAGTTGACCATACGAGATGAAAAGGAGCAAAGAAGAGATCCCGTACAAAATCGCGGGACAAATCAAGATCGTGATCGAGGTCGTGGCCGAGGTCACTTTCGAGGAAGAGGTCGCGGACGAAGCAGAGGAGATCCTGCTCGAAGTGATGGAGGATACCAGTACCAAAGAGGTGTTCGTGGAAGAGAAAAGAACTCGACAAGCCAATGGTATGATAAATCTAAAATCCGATGTTATCATTGCAATAAACTTGGCCATTATGCTTCTAACTGCTGGAATAAAGAAAGCTCTATATGGGCTTAAACAAGCACCGAGAGCATGAAATTCCAGAATTGATGCATATTTCAAGGCGAATGGATTCTCTCAATGTCCATACGAGCATGCACTCTATTTGAAGCAAGAAAAATGTGATATTCTACTCGCCTGTTTATATGTTGATGATCTTGTTTTTACAGGAAATAATTCGGCGATGATTGATGCTTTTAAGGCATCGATGGTGAAAGAATTTGAGATGACTGATAATGGTCTCATGAATTATTTCCTTGGTATCAAAGTGAAGCAAAGTGCCGATGGGATTTTTATTTCCCAAAAAGGATATGCAGAAAATATCCTTGAAAAATTCAACATGAAGAACTGTATGCCGGTCTATACACCAATGGAGTGTGGAACCAAGCTTTCGAAGTTTGATGATGGTGCCGATGTTGATTCGACATATTATAGAAGCTTGATTGGAAGTTTGAGATACTTGACATGCACGAGACCGGATATTATGTATAGTGTTGGAATTGTTAGTCGATACATGGAGAAGCCGAAATCATCTCATCTTAAAGCTGCAAAGAGAATACTTCGGTACATCAAAGGTACTATTTCTCATGGTTTACACTATTATTGCTCTGAATCTTTCAAACTTAGAGCTTATTCGGAAAGTGATTATGGTGGAGATATCGACGATCGAAAAAGCACCACGGGATTTGTATTTTTCTTGTGCGACACTGCTTTCACGTGGTCATCAAAGAAGCA